AGCAGAGCACGCACACTTAACTGCTAAGCCACGGGACCAGCCCTGAGCCAGGACTTTTGAGGAAGACAGGGGTATGCTGACACTGATGGGGATGGAGATGATACCCAATACTCATTAAATGTGCTTGGTGTCTTTATGTCTCAGAGCAACACCCCGAATCAGGCATTACTATCTAAAATATACCATTGAGGAAATAACCTCAGAGAGGTTAAGAGTGCACCTAACAGTATATATAGCATATAGAGGTTTCTAATGAAAGCTTATCAAATGAAAGTGACTTGTCCAATGTCATTCAACTGTTAAGTATTAAAAGTTGGGACTTAACCCTAGGTCTCCTGAAACCAAAGCTCATGCCCTTACCACTATCCAAAGCTGCAGTCCTACAAGGAAAAACAAAAGAACACCAGACAGATAAATAATTCTAGTAATTCTCAGGGCAATAGGCCAATTTTGTCCTGTAATGAAAGAGAATTCCTAAGTATCCCTATCAAAATAAGAAAATTTCAGGTCCAACTTAGTTGTGATTAGGACTTTAATTTCTAAATAAAGAATGAAATTCTTAAGTCAAAATAGAGGTCAATCCATACCTTTCAGGAGACTTTGAGTGGCTCCTGTGTCTGTGACTACGGTGATGACCTGGGGGAAAAAAGGCCATTGGATGAGTGCGATTCTACCCTCCTACTCTTCCACTGTCACTTTCACTTCACCCAGTCCCTTCCATTGGCCTGTGCTAGGGACACCTCTTGGTGGTAGCATCTCTCTGAACTGGTGTGGATGTGTGCGCGCGTGCTGGGGAGAGGAGAACTGAACCCACTTGATATGCATTCAGGGCTTTATGGCTCATTTCACAAACGTCACATTGGGTATTTACCACTACTCTGTTAGGTCTTACTCCTGTAATTTCAGATGAAAAACCTGAAGCTCATCATCCTATCAGCAAAGCTTATAAGTGAGAGTCAAGATGTGAACTCTAATTTTCAAATTCTAAGTCCATTTCCTTTTTTTCTAGGCATTAATACAGTCAGGCATTCCTGTACTGCAGGAGGCTAACTGCTCCTATTACCTTTTTTTGTTAAGACAACCAATATCAAATGGCCCAAATACTATACCTGGGGACTTGGAGCGAGATCTGTGCCGTCTGTCTCGGGACCTGCTGCGGTGACGTCTTGGACTCTTGCTCCGATGCCTTTCTCGGCGAGGGGAGGGGCTGTGGAAATGAGTGGTCAGACTTCCATATCTGTCTGACAATATACTCACAATGGCACCCCTCTCCCCAAATCCCTATCCTTTATCACAAATCACTGAAGGCCTACCTCCTCCTTTTGGGAGACCGACTCCGTCTATATGGAAAGAAAAAAGAGGAAGAAGAGCCTTAGTAAGTGCACTGGATGTTGCAGATAGCAAAAATTGCCCCAATTCTTCACCCATCTCTGTTATCCACGTCCTTTGTCATGTAACTTTTCAGCACCCTCCCAATCCAAGTCTGGGATTGGCCATGTGACTTGCTTTGGCCAGTGGGATATTTGCAGATGTAATACGAGCAGATACTGGAAAAATACCTGCATGACTGGGCTTGTTTGCTCTTGAATTCTGCCATTTCCTTGAGAACATGCCTAACCTAGCCTAGAATGAGACACACATAGAGATGTGTTGCTCCAGTCATCCTAGCTAGGGCCACCCTATACTAGCCAACAGACTGCTGACCGCAAAACAGGTGAGTGAACATAACTTACTTATACTCAAAAAACTGCCTATCCAAGCCCAGCTTAAATCACTGACCACAGACTTGTGAACTAAATAAATGGTTATTGTTGTCTGCTACCGAGGTTTTTTGGGTGGTGGTTGTGCAACTAATACACTGGACAAACAAACATTCTCCACAGGCTGGCATTTTCCCTTCCCTGAAGTCGAAATTTCTACGCTACAGTGCTAAAGTCTCCCCAGAAAAGGCCAAAGACTAGGGCCTTACCTTCTGGGAGACCGGCTCCTACTCCTCCTGTAGCGTAATGTGGGAGAGCGACGGGGCTTGTCCAAATCTCGGTAGCTTCTCCGGCGGTGATCAGGTGATGGCACTCTCTCCAACTGGAAATGAGATGGATGGGTCAGTGATGAGCTCAGGCTTATAGAGAGCCATCTAGGAACACTGTTTACACTCCCCTCCCCAACCTGTCCCAAATTCCACCTCCGAGTGACTTTAAAAACACAGTAATTTGAATACATAGAGGCATAACCCTAAGAACAAAAAAACCTACCAAATAAAAAATTAAACTGTTTCCAATTATCCCATTATTGTTCTAGTGCTGGTACCATTATTCTGGGACTGTGAGAGTCCAGAGAGAGAAGTAAGTAAATATGCCTATCTCCTTAAGAAGTTGGATTTCCAATGCGAAAGAGATACAGATATAAGATCAATAAGGTTAAAGTACAAACTCCCGGTGTACTTTAATCTTAAAGAAAATTTCCCCCTAACTCTGCTAACTATAAAGGACTAGAAACACCAAACCCACAGCAATAAGCACTTACAGTGCCCAGATTGTGGCACTAATCTTGGTCAGGGGCAGAAGCTAACAAGACATAACTAGATATACATCATATCAGAAAGCAAGGAGGCTGAGACTACTATAATTGTTATCAAAAAGTCTCTCGAGTCAAGTTGAGGGGTCCCCATTGGCCCAAGATGGGACAATTTGAGCATCAAGAAGGATAATAATTGTTTGAAACACATCAAATATGCTTACATTCATGAGTTCACAATGTTACCAAGGACAAAAGAGCATTCATCACCCTGGGAAGATACTATAGAATCAACTCATATTTTAAAAACTGATAGCAAATGGAAATAAATATTTATCTTGCCTTTCCTATATAAACTGTACTTATGAAAAACTAAATGTTGATTTAGGAGGTTTCTCTTTATAGCAATGTTACAGGTGACAAATGATGAAGAAATCAAGAATTATAACATCACCATTTTATAACCCCTAATGGATCTGGGCAGAGATCATCAGTGGCTCCTAATGCTACAAAAAGAGACAGCTAGACTTTGCTCATCCTGGGGGAAGTACACACTACTACCTATGAAGTAGTGTTGCTCCACTTGAAAGGGGATAAAAACCCCAAATCCAATTAAGCCTCTAGATCTAAAAACTAGTTTACAGGAAATACAAGGGATAAATGAACATGTTAAGAGACACCCCAGAGGGACAATCAGAAAAACAGATTGTGAAAATCTGTATTAAATAATATAACTTGATATATTTAAAAATTGCAAGAGAGGGGATGGCCCAGTGGCGTAATGGTTAAGTTCGCGTGCTCCGCTCGGCGGCCCAGGGTTCACAGGTTCAGATCCCAGGCGCGGACCAATGCACTGCTGGTCAAGCCACACTGTGGCAGGCATCCCACATAAAGTAGAGGAAGATGGGCACGGGTGTTAGCCCAGGGCCAGTCTTCCTCAGCAACAAGAGGAGGATTGGCATCGGATGTTAGGTCAGGGCTAATCTTCCTCACCAAAAAAAAAAATGGAAGAGAAAAAAGTATGATGGAGGGAACTGAAAGATTACAGATACTTAAGAGATAAAAAAATGTCCATTACAATTTATGGACCCTTGAATACTAATTCAAATTATTAAAAAATATAGGCCAGTGGCCGACCCCATAGCGTAGCGGGTTAAGTGCGCGCACTCCGCTGCTGGCGGCCTGGGTTCAGATCCTGGGCGCGCACCAATGCACCGCTTGTCAGGCCATGCTGTGGCAGCGTCCCACATAAATTGGAGGAAGATGGGCATGGATGTTAGCTCAGGGCCAGTCTTCCTCAGCAAAAAGAGGAGGATTGGCATGGATGTTAGCTTAGGGCTGATTTTCCTCAAAAAAAAAAGGCCAGTTGGGGAAATGTGAACACTGAATATTTGATGATATTAAGGAATTATTGTTGATGGGGGGGTGGTGATGGTATTGTGGTTATGCTTAAAAACGGAGCCTTTGTCTTTTCTGAAATATTATGGATGAAATATATGCTGGCCATGATCTGCTTCAAGATAATGGGGGCGGGGATGGGAGGCAACTGGGTAGAGATGTAGAGGAAACAAAATGGCTATGAGTTGATCATTGTTGAAGCTAGGTGATGGGCAAATGGGGGCACGTTCTCTCCCCTTTGGTATGTGACTGAAATTTTCCATTAAAGAAAAGGAATGCCTACTTTTGGTTCACTCACCAAAGAAGAGCACCTCAGACTTGCATGGCTCTCAATTCATGCGTGATTGCGCTTCCTTTTACACTCAGCTTAAAGGGAGCCTGCTTGGCTCACAGCTACACTTCCATATGCACAGTATCCATAAGCCAACATTTCTTGTACTTCCCCCTAGCCTTTTTCTATATATATTGTTATTTATCATTTTAATCACACGTTTTAGAGCCTTCTTTTTTAACTCACCATAAGCATTTCCACATTATCATATACTTTTCATAACAGTTTCAATGGCTGCCTAATAGTCTGTTGAGGTGATATAAGAATTTACCTGACCTTTCCAATGCTTGGTTGTTTTCAATTTTTCAGCATTACAACTAATAGTGAAAGAACATGACCATGCAGTAGGCATTTTTTTTTTTCCCCTAAACTAGGCTTACTTCTTAGGATGGGTTCAATTATGAACAGTACTATTTTTGTCCCAAAGTATTTATTTTAATAGCTACCACGTATTAGGCAATTACAACACCCAAAAGTATGCTAAGGGCTTTATGTATATCATCTCATTTAATACTTAACAGGAGTTGTAAGAGAAAGGTATCATTATCCTTGCTTTACAGAGGAGTAAACTGAGATGATGTAACTTGCACAAAATTATATCACTAGTAAACAGCAGAGCTGAGATATGAATCAAAGTCTATTTAACTCTAGAGCCCATACTCTTAATGACTAAATATTATATTTTTTGGTTAAAGAAAATTAAAAATTAATGTCTAAAAACAAAACAAAAAAGGACCATTCCCATCCCCTATAACTATCCCTCCTCCAACCCTTAAGTTCCCAGGTGCCTGACCTTCTCATCCTCCTCTTCCTCCTCTTCACTGGACTCCACGTCATCCATGTCCTCTTCTAGAGCGCTAACTCGAGGCTCCAGTTGCTCAGCTTCCTCTAGCACGTAGCGTTTCTACAGAGAACATAACGAGAGTTAGGGAGCCTTGCTATCTGCTCTACGTCCTAAAGTCCCAACACTAGGCTTCTGGGATTGACAGAAAAACTATGGAGCAACAGCTGAGGCAATTTCATTTCAAAGACATTCTAGACACTTCAAGATTTTCCTAAGAAGTTTAACATACTGGAATCTATACACTCTTTAAAGTTGCCCTGTAAACAGATAAATATAAAGCTGAAGGGAACATCTTCATTTTCTACTGGCTCTATTCCCTGTGATCTTATACGCTAAGGTCATTGGAATATCAACCAGTATAGGTGTAGCCTTGAATAAAAAATATGGGCTTCATATACAAGGGCCAATAAGTTTGTAGCTGAGGCTGTGTTGGCTAGTATTTCTGCCAGAAGAGGCTCAGACCAGACTCTATCCCAACAGATCCATTGAGGCTCAGCCTAGTTTGGGGGCTGAAGAGTGCCTTGGGTCATGCTCTAGAGTAGCACCAACTCTCTACTAGACCCAGGATTTAGGGAGCTGTCTAGAGTCATGCATTTTGAATAAGGCACAGGATATAAACCAACACTCCATCTCCTTGTTCCATTTTCTTCTGAGATGTGGCTTAGCAGTGCTTATCAAGTGACTAAGAACCTGAAAAGCAAAGGTGAGTACAAAATTGCCAAATGGACTGGCTGGGTCATAAGACCTCTTACCATTTCCTTGTGCCAAGGACATAAAGAATGTTGGATAGCCCTAGAATAAATAGCAACATTTGTATGCTACTTAGCTCTCACTCATCCCTAACAAAATTCTATAAAGGTTGGGAGAAATGAGACAAAGCTGTAACTCGGTGAAGTCAACCTTTCAGAAAAGAGCTCCCTGGAAAAGGGCTCTCCAGTCACAGCATCACCACCATTTGGGATCTAGGACTGCATCAGACAGGGGATCCAGAATCTCAAATGCTTGTGTTTGATGAAATTAGAATTCATTCCAGAGCAGCTCCTTGTCAATGTCAGGGCACATCAGAAGCTAAACTGATGACCTAAAGGTTGCTTAATAACAACAGAATCAGAGCAAAACGTTGTCTTAAAGGTCACCAGGATATCTAGAGACCCACACCAGAACACACCTCTTGGTGATATGATAACACTTATTAGATTTCAATTTCTCTCTCCTCAGTGAGGCTTGTTTTGTGGTCTTTCCTTCTAGACTCCATGCATACCACCTCATTTACATCAATAGGCTTGCTTAGAGCTGAGTGGGCTTTGGAACCCTTAGCTACAACCTGATTGCACTTCCAAGTATGCCATTTCTTGCAGTATTCTAAAAATAACAGCAGCTAAGGATAATATAATAATAGCTAATGTAACCCACAATGAGTTAGTGTGAGAACTGGGACCTGAAAGCAGGTTTTCAGATTTTAAATCTCATTCTCTTCACTACAGCCTAGAGTAGCCAATATAGAACAGGAGATATACCACACTCATTTTCAGGATTTTTATTTTATTGGATTTCCTGTAACTGATCACTATGGAGGAAGAGTTGGTTCATTGCATTTAAGTGTGAACACTCATCTACCAACAACTTTTATCTAGCTAGTTTGCTGCCTTGAGCAAATTTATCTCCCCCATTTATCAGATATCTGCCATCTATTCTATTCCCTACTTGGAAGTTTTTCAGATCCCTCTGATCTGTTCTTTATTGAGGTGAAATTCACATAACATACAATTAACCATTTTAAAGCGTACAATTCAGGGGCCAGCCCGGTGGCATAGTGGTTAAATTCACGCGCTCCACTTTGGCGGCCCGGGGTTCGCAGGTTAGGATCTCGGGCGTGGACCTATGCACTGCTTATCAAGCCATGCTGTGGTGGGCGTCCCACATATAAAGTAGAGGAAGATGGGCATGGATGTTAGCCCAGGGCCAATCTACCTCAGCAAAAAGAGGAAGATTGGCAGCAGATGTTAGCTCAGGGCTAATCTTCCTCACCAAAAATAAATAAATAAATAAAGTGTACAATTCAGTGGTCTTTAGTGTATTCACAACACTATACAACCACCACCTCTCACTAGTTTAAAAACTTTTTTATCACACCATAAAAATACCCCATACCTATTAAGTGATCACTCCATATTTTTCCTTCCCTACATCCCATAGTAACCACTAATCTGCTTTCTATCACTATGGATTTGCCTAGTCTGGATATAACATATAAAAAGAATCACACACTATGTGATCTCTGATCTTTAAATCATCCCTTTTGGTTTATATGTAGCAAGGCAACAATCACCTCAGAGCAGACAGGATACAGCAAATTGCTTCAGAATTATTGAACTGTAGTAGCATCAAAAAGGAAACCTGAAGTAGTGGATCCTTCCAGTTGGCGTTTCTGTGGTTGCTTAAAACATGTAAGAATCTGCTCCCATCCACCATCTACATCACCATCTCTGGGACCCACCAATTCTTACACAGACATACAGCATCAGAGAACAGCAGAGCACTAAGAGCCAAAGGCCCTTAGTTTACATCTATTGCAGTGATTTTTGCAATACTTTTTATAGTTTCATTGAGGTATAACTGACATACAATAAACCGTACATTTTTAAAGTGTACAATTTGATGAGTGTTGACGTGTATTATACACAACTATAACACCATTACATCAACATAATGAATATATCTACCTTGCCCAAAAGTTCACTTGTGCTTCTCTGTAATCTCTCCTTCCCTCTCTTCCCCATTCCCTCCTCCTGCACTCAGGCAACTAGTTTGTCACTAGTTTTCATTTATTAAAATTTTATATGAATGGAATTATACAGTATGTACTGTTTTTTGTCTGTTTTTTACCCAGCACAATTATTTTGTGGTTCACTCATGCTGTTGTGTATCAACAGTTCATTTTTACTGCTGAGTAGGACCACTGTATGAACACACCACAATTTGTTTATTTGTTCACTTGATGGACATTTGATGGACATTTGGACTGTTTCCAGTTTCTGGCCACTACAAATAAAGCTGTTATGATTATTTGTGCATAAGTCTTTGTGTGGACATGTGCTTTCATTTTTCAAGTAAACACCTAGGAGTGGAATGGCCAGGTTGTATGGCTGCTTTTCAAGAAACTGCCAAACTTTTCCAAAGCAGTTGTACGGTTTTATATTGTCACCGTTGGTGTACAGAGACTTGCAGTTCCTCTATATCCTCGCCAACACTTGGTATGGTCAGTCTTCCTGATTTTAGACCTTTAACAGGTATGTAGTGTAAATTACTATGATTTTAATTTGCATTTCCCTAATGACTAATGGCATTGAGCATCTTTTTATGTGTTACTGGCCAACTATATATTTTCTCTGGTAAAATGTCTGTTAGAATTCTTTTATTCATTTTCCCATTGGGTTGTCTTCTTGTTATTAAGCTCAAGAGTTCTTTATATATTCTAGATTCAAGACCTTTGTTGGATATATACTCTTATTCTTATAGTCTATGGCTTGCCTTTTTACTTTTGTAATAAGTGTCTTTTGAGAAGCAAGTTAATAATTTTTATAAAGGCCTATTTATTAATTTTTATTAAATAATTCATGCTTTTTATGTCCTATATAGAAATTTTTGTCAAACCCCAGGTCACTAAGATTTTCTCCTGTGTTTTCTTTCAGAAGTTTTATAATCTTAGCTTTTATAACTAAGTCTATTATCCCCTTCAAGTTAATTTTTATATATGATATGTGAGCTAAGGATGGAGATTCACTGGTTTCCATATGGCGATTTAATTGTTCCAGCACTATTTGTGGAAAAGATTATCCTTTCTCAATGTTATTGCCCTGACATCTCTGTAGAAAACCAACTGACCCTATATATGTACATTTACTTCTGGTCCTGTTATTTTGTTCCATTGATCCATTTGTCTACTTTTATGCCAATATAACACTGTCTTGGTTACTATAACAAGTCTTGGAAACAGGTAGTGTTTTGTCTCCCTACTTTGTTTTTTTTTTTTTTTTTTTAAAGATTTTATTTATTCATTTTTTTCCCCCCAAAGCCCCAGTAGATAGTTGTATGTCACAGGTTCACATCCTTCTAGTTGCTGTACGTGGGACTCGGCCTCAGGGTGGACGGAGAAGTGGTGCCTTGGGGCGTGCCCGGGATCCGAACCCGGGCCGCCAGCATCAGAGCGCGCGCACTTAACCGCTAAGCCACGGAGCCGGCCCACCTACTTTGTTCTTTTTCAAAGTTGTTTTGGATATTCTAGGTCCTTTGCATTTTCACATCAATTTTAGAATCCGCTTGTCAAGTTCTACTAAAGTCTATAGGGATTTTGGTTGAAAGTATAGATGGAATTTGGGAGAACTGACAACAATCATAAGCCATGGAATAAGATATACTATGGCCATGATATATCTTTCCATTTATTTAAGTCTTCTTTAATTTCTCTCAGTAATGCAATGTTTTGTAGTTTTAAGTGTGAGTCTTGCACATCTTTTGACAAAATTATCCTTCATTATTTTATATCTTTTGATGCTGTTGTAAACAGTATTTTAGTAAAATTTCAAATTCTAATTGTTCATTGCTAGTGTATAGAAATACAACTGACTTTTGTAGATTGACCTTGTATGCCACAATTCTGCATAAACAGATAAATGAGTAAACAAATTGTGGTATGTCCATACATTGGAATATTATTCAGCAATAAAATGAAATAAACTATTGATAGATGTAACATGGATGAATTTCAAAATAATTATGCTGAGTGAAGAAAGATAGACAAAAAAGAGCATGTACTGTATTAATTCCAAAATGCAAACTAATCTATTGTAACAGATAGCATATCAGTGGTTGCTTAGGGGTGAGAGAGAGAAGTAAGAGGGAGGGATTACACAAAAGGAAAGGAGGAAACTTTTTGCGGTGACAACATATGTTCACTATTGTTGATGGTGATGATAGTTTCAAAGGTGGACACATATGTCAAAACTTATCAAACTGTACATTTTAAATATACATAGTTTATTATATGTCAATTATACCTTAATAAAGCCATTTAAAAGAAAAAAAGCCTTTGTTCCAACGAAATCTCACTCCTAAGCCCAATATGTAACTTAGAGAAAAAAGGAGCTGCCCTGGTTAGAATATGTGGGGCTGTCTCCTTATTCCTCTCAGTAATCTTAAAACAGTCCCACAGGGCAGTTTAAAGACCACTGAGGTAGTCTTAATTTCCCCATTTTATAGATGGGAATATAAGACCAGGTCCCATTGCTAGTCACCTGTAATAATAACGCAGAAACAGGTTTCCTACTTCACTGTTCAGTCATCTCTCCACTACAGACCATTCCTATTCTCTTTAGGGTACCTACTCTGTTTTCTCTTTGTATTTTACCACAGTAGTTTTAAAATCGTACTCTGTAAAACACATTCCCGAAAGGTGCTTCATGGACGATCATTTATCACTAGGAAAGGGAGGCGGATGATAAAGGTGATATTTAAGGGGTTAATGTCTCAGTCTCCCACTGCTGACCCTCGTTTTATCTGTTTTATATCATGGATCTTTATATGAAGATAAATTTGAAAAAAGCTGCTCACAAAATTTAAAAACCTACTCTAATTTCCTTGATGTAACATTTTAAAGAAGAAAGTTTTCTTGTGTTAATTATTCACTTTTAAAGCCCTACCCTTCAAATACTTTATCTGTTTTCTTCTCACTCCCAATCCCCTATCTTTTTCATAGACATTAGGACTACTTATTAAGAGGACCTCTGTGATCCATGGGCTTCAGTGGTTTATTGTGTATGTCCGTCTGCCTGCCTGTTTTGGCGAAAAGGGTGACTCTGATATGAGACCTTGATCTCTTACCTGTAACCGGGGCAGAATGATATCACAGACTCTCTCACTGTGCAGTAGTTCATCAATAAACTCATCTACATGCATCAGTTCAAACTCTGAAAGAAAAATCATAAGCTCAAGCAACTTGGAAATAAATTTAGATAGCCAAAAAGTAAAAGAAGTTTAAGACTCTACATGTAAAATATCTAAACGAGTACTTGGTATAGAAAGTGTGAATTCTCTGCTGCTTCCCTTTCCCTGCACATTCCCTAGGAAAGCTATTGCACTGTGGCAATTACAGAAATGGAACTATTGTCAAACCTGGGCTCAAACTACAGCATTTCATAGCCTTGTCATCACCACCTATCTTCATTCATTCAACTCACCTTTACTGAGGCCATCTTTGTGCCAGGCCTCTTCTAGGAGTTGGGGATACAGGGATGAATGAAGCTGTCCCAATCAGCAGGAGAGACAAACACAAAATCAAGCACAAATAGTCCTGAATTGTACAGGGATGATGTTCTTGAATAGATCATATAACTAAAGTGCAATTTCTCATGTGAACCCACTATGTTTCTGAATATAGAACATGTATCTTATATGGTAAATGGAGCAATAGCTTTTCAGAATTTCTACAGTAAACATTACCTTAGTTCAGTGGTTCTCAACCTCGGGTGATTTTGCCCCCACAACTGGCATCTACTAGGCAGAGGCCAGGGATGCTGCTAAACATCCTACAATGCACAGGACAGCTCCTCACAGCAATGAATCATCTGGCCCAAATTGTCAAGAGGTTGAGAAACCCTATCTAACATAATATAATCACAAATAAGGGGGCCGGCCCCGTGGCTTGACGGTTGAGTGTGCGCGCTCTGCTGCTGGTGGCCCGGGTTCGGATCCCGGGCGCACACCGACGCACCGCTTCCCCGGCCATGCTGAGGCCGTGTCCCACATACAGCAACTAGAAGCACGTGCAGCTATGACATACAACTATCTACTGGGGCTTTGGGGGGAAAATAAACAAACAAAATCTTAAAAAAAGAAAAAAAATCACAAATAAGTAATTCCATGATGGCCATGACCACATCCATCTTGTTCACCATGTTATTTCCATTACGTAGCACACTACCTGGCAGGACCTTGGCACTTAATATGTATTTATTCAATGAATGAATGAATAAGTTAATAAAAGTTTAAAGTATAATACCAAATTCTTAACTTTCTACTGCTTAATGATACATGTAGAAGGGAAAGGCAAATGTTACTAATCTTTTATTATGACGCTAAGTGAGAAATGGTTTTGATTGCATTACCCCAAATCCCACTTTACCACAAAAAGTGTCTCTTTGTAAAACGTATGGAGCTACCCCTTTTAGATATATTTATTCTTTTTCAGTGGGATTCCTACATAAGTATAAATACATTTAGTCCATATACTGCAGTGTAAAGTACAGTGCTAGAAGAGAGGCCAGTAGAAAGAACCGTGAAGATGTAACATATGGAAAACTAACTTTGTCTGGGAGGTTTGGGGAATGCTTTTATGGAGAAGGTCATTCTGGAGCTAGATGTTGGGCGATGGAGCACATGATGCAGGGCAGGAATTAATATAAGATGCAGTTGGAAAGGTAGGCAGACAGGGGTAGACTGGGTAAGGCCAACAGGAAGCTAGTAGTCTAATGGAGTACTCCCCATGAGGGAGCTGGAGGGCCTGGATGAAGATAGTAACAATATGGATGAAGAGGAGCACCCACAATGTATGTGACAATGTGAGGGCAGAGATACTGGTGAAATACAAACTGGCTCAGGCATGAAGGTCCAGTTACTTGGCACCATACTCACCCCCATTTCGGTTCTGGCTCTTGATTTTTCGATAGTCATTGTACAGAGGTTCCAAGTACTTGTAGCAATCAATTGCAGTGCCTGTCAGCCTCATGTAAAGTGCTCCCAACATGCGGACATACCTGACAGATAGATGACAGTGAAACAACAAGCCATTCTGAAAAGTTCCTGAGTTTTATAACTTGCTTTTCTCATGACAGTAATGAATAAACAAGTTCTTTCTTCTCTTTGGCAGATGAGAAAGCTGCAATTTTAGAGGCAGCATGGGGCGGTAGAAAGATAGCTAAGAATATGGAGACCGGGGTTCAAGTTCCTATTCTACCTCTTACTGGCTGTGGGCACTTGGGACATGTTGCTCAACTTTGGGAGTCTATTATATCATCTGTAACACTAAGTTAGAACATATTCACCTCACAGGATTATTGTAAGAATCAAATGAGATACTGATTTTAACAAGAGAAGGTATAAGATACATTTATTAACAGTACAAGAACTAATACACATAGTTGTGAACATGTAAATCGTGGCTAGGCAGCAGAATGCTGGTTCTGGAAAAAAAAGTCAAAGTCATCTGGGTTCAAATTCTGACTCCATTATTTACTAACTTAGTAACATTGGGCAAGTTACTTGCTTTCTCAATCCTTATAAAATGGAGAATAGCACCTAACATGCTGGCTTGGTGTATTAAGTAAGAAATGAGTGTCAAGTGTTAAGCATAGCATACAGCACATAGTGAAGTGCCTGATAAAAGTTAGCTATTTCTAGCCATTAATATTTTCTAAGATTCCTTCCTTTTCCCTTTCTCCTATATCCAACTATCCTCTCAAATCTCTACTTGGATAACTAGTAGGGATTTGAAACTCAACTGTTTCTTTATATGACTAACAGAATAGAGTAGTGAAGAATACGGATTCTGAAGCCAGCTTTGCCACTTACCAGTTATTTGACCTTGGGGAAATTAATCTCTCTGTGCCTAAGTTTCTTCTCCTGTATATTGGGAATAATAATTTTACACGGTTGTTGTGAAGGTTAAATAAATTATTATATGTAAATCCCTCAGACTAGAAGGTGGCACATGATAAGTTATGTCTGTCTCCTATACTTGTCTGTGACCTCACTGAGAATGGATAATAAGGGCCGGCCCTGTGGCTTAGCGGTTAAGTGCATGCGCTCTGCCACTGGCGGCCCGGGGTTCGGTCCCGGGTGCGCACCAACACACCGCTTCTCCGGCCATGCTGAGGCCGCGTCCCACATACAGCAACTAGAAGGATCTGCAACTATGACATACAACTATCTACTGGGGTTTTGGGGGGTGGGGGGAAGGAGGAGGATTGGCAATAGATGTTAGCTCAGAGCCAGTCTTCCTCAGCAAAAAGAGGAGGATTAGCATGGATGTTGGCTCAGGGCTGATCTTCCTCACAAAAAAAAAAGAATGGATAATAAAATAATAAGAGCAGCTGACATTTTTGAGGTGTTTACCATGTATCAGGCACTGTGTTATGAGATTTACCGTACTATCTTCTTTAATCCTCACAACAAGCCTGAGTTGGTATTACTGTCTCCATTTTACAGGTAAAGAAAGTAAGGCTTAGAAAATTAAGTAACTTCTCCAAGGTCACAGTTAATAAGTAACAGAGTCCGGACATGAATCTACATCTAACATCAAAGTTTTCACTTTTATCTACCACACTCTGTTGTTTTCTTCACTGTTGAGTATCCAGTGCTCCCAACATATTAGGCACTCACTTCTGCTTAAAATATGTTAAGTGAGTTTGTGAAATACTTTTTGGTAGGAAAAATTACCGGGATGGAGAAAGTAAAGGACAAGATCAATACAACCAGAACAGACAAAATACAAACTCAAGAGCTCAAGAGTAAGATCCTAGAGTAGAACTCTCTGTGCAAAGGAGACACATTGTTTTCACTCCTCTTAAGCAAGGCCAAATTCTGGAGCACCGAAATTGAAGCTTTTATATTAGCTAGTCAACATTTCACTCACTTGAAATCTTCATTTTTGATAAACTCTACAATGATATCCTTCTCGGGTTGAATTTGAAGCATCTTCAAGGTCAAACACAGAAAGGGAGTTGGCTTTATGTTGCCACCATAGACACCACCCACAAACCTTAACTCCATGGCTTTATCGACTACAAGTTCAGCTAAAAAAACAAAAACAAAAACAAATAGAGTGGCATCTCAGACATATTAGGGCTAAGCTTTTCCCGGTTTGAAGTGGAGAGAAGTTAGTTCAAGGTTTGGTCCTTCTGAATACTCATCAACAGTTTAAGATTAGGAGAACAAGTGTGTATTAACAATAATAGTAATAATAATAATGATAGCAGCTAGTATACACTTAAGGATTACTATATGCCAGGTATTCTGCTAAGCATTTCATATTTTCTCATTTAATCTTCACAGCATGCCATGAGGTAAATTCTAGCACTGCTTCTGCTTTTAGCTAAGGCAAATGAGGGCTAAGAAAGGTTAAGTGACTTGCTCCAGGTGCACAGCCAGAAAGTAGCAGGGCCTGGATTCAAATCTAAGCAGTCTAACTTCAGAGTCCCTGCTTGTCATCATCATGTTAGGGGAAAAATGGCCAGATTAGGAGCTAAAAGAAACAAAACAATAACAACAACAAACTTCTCAATAGTTACATAACCTTGAGCAAACCTCTTCTCATCTACAGAATGGGGATAATAACCTTTCAACGTTTTTGTCAAAATCAAACATTAGCAGTGTGAACTAGGGCAAGTCATTTCACCTCCCTTTGAGTCTGTCAGTTCAAATTTGAATAATAAAGGTACAAAGGTACAAAGGGCTACAGTGAGAATCAAATGAGACAATACAAATAAATGTTAATACCTACCTGTCACATAGCAAATAATAGATGTTAGCTACCATTAATGGGAAATCATTTTATAAATCAGACTTCAAGTTCCTTTAGGATAAATTCTATATTAATTCATTCAAAATTACAGTTGACAACTTATAGCTAGGTGCTAGGTACTAGAGATACAGGTAGAGGAATAAAGAAGAGGGACACGATTACTGCTCTTAAGGAGTTTATAGTCTAGCAAGCCAGAAAGCATTGAAAAATAATTCAAAGTGTGACGAGTAGTTGAAAGAAGAGGCAGAATGCAATGAAAATACAGAACACGGGAAGGTAACCTGGTACTGGGGGGAAAAGAGGTCATGAGTTCACTTTTGGACATACTGAGTTGGTATTCCTGGAATTAGAGATTTAGATCTCAGGGAGAGATCTGGGTTGGAGAGAGAAATTTGAAGGTATCTACGTATAGGATGTAACTGTGGTATGGAGGAGATCTTCCAAGGCGAGAACTATGGAATGTGAAAACGGCCAAAAGTAAACCTTATATGACTTCAAAATTTAATGGCGACTCAGAGAAACAATATGACTTGTCCATGGACACACAGCTAGCGGTGGTGGCAGCAGCAGTAACAGCACAGTAGCAGTTAACAGTGGTAACAACTAGCACCATCACTACCACTGATTACTGAGTACTTTTTATTAATATATATTTGTGACCATACCATACACTTTTAATATATTATTGTATTTAATCCTTAAAACAACCCTTTGAGGTGGGTATTACACTCGTTTTAAGATAAAGAAAGCCATGGTTCACTGGGGTAACACTGCTACTAGAAGAGCCAGAATTCAAAGATTGAAAGACTAGCTGGAAGACGTTTTTGAAAACCGACATTTACATTAGGACCCGAACGTGGATATACTGCAAATGGTCCAGATTTAGGGATAGTAAGATCATGCATTTGGTTTCCGGTATGTTGACGTTCCTTTAAGACCTTCAGGGTCTCTCAACTTAACACTGTTTGGAACCCAGCAGGTTATCATTAAACATGGAATGACTCAAAGAACCCAACCGAGACACCTTTCCGAATAAGGTCCTATCAGATTCATCTGTGTCCCCCAAAGAACAACACAAGTCTAGGCACATAGTAGGCGCTCAGATTTTTCCGAATGATTGACAAATTTCCCTCCAGTCTCACCCCCACGGGGCAAGTCTACCCGCGCCCAGTCAGCCGAAGTGGGCCACAAGTCGGCCGAGGGGCGTCGCGCGCTCCCGCTCACCCGTAAGGCCAAAGCACTCCTCTTTCCAGTATTTGGACTCATAGATTCGCGTCCGAATGATCTTCTCCACCAGATACTGAGGGTTGGTGCCGTGGATGCTATGCGCATCCTTCACTGTCCTATTCGCCATTTTAGAACGCCTTCAGTTCTATTTCCGTCGGGTCCTTGAACGCGTCACATCCCGGTTACAGAAAACCCGAGACAGATGGAGAAAGGTGGAGGAAGTCTCACTACACAGCTCAGGCGACCGTCTGGAAACCGGAAATGCTGCAGCGTAACGAACTTCCTTCCGCGAACGGCGTCGGCGACCGAATCAATGATGGCCGCCGCACGTTGGCGGACTCACGTCATACGTCCCCTCCCAGTGGGCGGGGCGGGTGATGACGGAACGTTTGGCGCGAAATTTTCTTTTCTCCACCTTCTTTCCATCCCTGGCGAGCATCTCGCTACGGCTCGGGCGTGCGCACGGCGCCGTAAGAGGAGCCCAGCTGGGGTGGGTTAGAGTTGCTGCAGCTCCACGAGCTCTTGAAGCGGAGACGGTGGGAAGCAGAAGGTTCGCACCTACTTCCAGGAAGCTTCCGGGCCCGGTGAGTGTGGTGTCCCGCGGGCTGGAGGGCGGCGACCTGAGCCGCGGGGACGGAGGAAGTTGTTCTCTGTAGACTCACTCAGTCATTGAGTCAATCAGCAGATATTTACTAAGCGCCTGTTAAATGCCAGGCTCTATTCTAAGCCCATTAGGAGCACGACTCTTCCACATCCCTATTTCTCAAAGGCTTCCCGCTCCTCCAGGGACTGCGAGTTTGCGGTGGGGAAGCCGGAAGCCAACAGCAGAGAAGCGTGAACATTCCTGTCCTCAGCGCCCTGAGACTCTCAGTAATGGTCTTAACCATCCCTTCTGTCTGCATTGCGTTTGTGAAGCATTCGCATCTTTTCCTCTTTGAGCTGTAGTGTAGCAAGCACCACAGGGAAGTCGGAGCAGCAGAAGTTATCACCCCATTTTACGGTTGTAGCAAGTGCGCAGAGAGAGACTTGCTGAGGTCGCTTTTCGTGACTCTGCGGCCTGGGCTCCTTTTTCCAGATGAGCTGTTCTTAACTGCTGGGCTCTCATTCATCCACCTTTTCGGGAGAGAAGTCTAATAGCATCTCTTCTACCTCCTCTAGTCTAACCCTAGAATAGAAAGTCCTTCTATTTTGACAGTTGGAAAAAGCACTGGACTTAGAGGCATGAGATCCGAGATTCTTATCCCGGGCTTCTGTCTGTGAAACTGCAATGAGTAGATATGTCAGTTTTCGATTTTAGTTGTCTATAAAAATGGTACCCTCTTCTCTGCTGTATTGGGTTCTTGTGAATGCCGATGGAGGTTTCTGATGTGAGAGCATAATTTTACTAAGTCCCTTTGCAAACAGTTTTTAACTGTAACAGAGGGCAATATGTGGACTTTAGAAGGTTTATGAATCTCCTGAAATTGAATGCAAAATTTTGTGTGAGTTGTATGTGTTTCATAACATTCATCGAATTTGTAAGAAAAAATAGAACCACTCTCCCTTACAAATAAATGCAAGGGATTAAGGGAGTAGGGGAATGAATTTACCATTTTGCATTTTCTCGCTTAGTCCTCAGTAATCCTAGAATAGTGCCTGGCGCACAATTGGTGATCAATAAATATTGGTTGAATAAAAGGAAGATTCAATTATTATTCCCAATTATGGGTAAGGAAATTGAGGCCCATTTGACCTCTCAGTCACTGGGAACCCTGACTTGCTGAATAAGCACACCAGAAGCAAGCTCTCTCAGTCATATGTTAGCATCTACTTGCACACAAGGTGCTGTAATGTGAAGTGGTTAAGAGCACAGTCATTGGAATCAGGGTTTAAATTAAGGCTGTGCCGTCCTGTATAACACTGGGACAAGTTATCATCTGGAAGTGATGATAGCATCTACCTTTCATTCAGCAAATATTTATTATGAGTACCTACTATGCGCTTAGTGTGTACTAGTGCTGTTCTAGGATTATTGTGAGGATTAAATGAGATAAATATATCATGAATTTTGGCTCCACCTTCTGTCATATTGGCTCAATAAGTATCTGCTATCATTATTTTCACCGCAATTCCCTTATCTGTTTTCCTTGGGTGTGGCCCCTGGACTGGATGGTGTGTATGTTCCAGATTTCTGGTATCAGTAACTAAGAGAGCCTGTAGTTGGTCGGGCCCGCCATTCCACCCCATTCATCACCCCTCTTGGGGATTCTCTCCGCTGGTGGTAGATTGAGGGTGAGAAACTGGGGTGACAGTCCAAAGAGGCCTGACATCTACTATGATTTTCTTATGCTGCCTCTTCAGAAGGACTCCTGATTAATTTTTTGAACTTTTTATTGAAAAATAACATACATACAGAAAAGTGCACAAATCATAAATCATCAGTGAGTTTTCTTAAAGAGAACATACCCATGTAACCAGCATCCAGATCAAGAAACCACATGACCTCACCCCAGAAGCGCCCCTTTTCCCCACCATGCTCCCTTTTAGTCACCTTGGTTACCTTCTATTCTGACTTCTAACACCATAGGTTACTTTAACCTGGTTTTGAACTTCATATAAATGGAATCAATATAGTGTGTATGCTTTTGGTGTCTGATTTCTTTAGCTCATTGTTATTTTGTGAGATTTTTTTCCCCATGTTGTATGCAGTTGTAGTTGGTTTCGTTTCATTGCTGTATAGTACTGCTATAAACATTCTGGTTCATGTTTTTGATGATATGTATGTTTTTGTGTAGGGTATATTCTGTGGGAATTGGTGGGTCATAGGATATGTATACGTTCAGTTTTAGTAGATACTGCCCATTTTCCAAAGTAATTTTACCAATTTACATGCTCTTCAGCAGTGTATGAGAATTCTGGCCATTCTATATCCTCACCACATTTGGTGTTGGCCTAATAATTTTTAAAACCTGTTCATTCATTCATTCATTCATTCACTTATTATGTCTCAGGCCCTGGGGATGCAGTTATGAACAAGATAGACAAGGTCCCAAGATCTCTGCTCTTTTGGAAGTTAACATTCTAATGTGGGAAGCAAATAAATAAGAAAGTAATATAATGGTTGTTGCTTTGATAATAGGGTGGTATAATGGAACATGACCCTAAGGGGCAGTGTAAGGGGGTGGGAGGGTAACTTTCATTGGCTATCAGTGAAGGCCTCTCTGAGGAAGTTTCATTGGAGCTGAGATCCGAGCCATCCCTGTAAAGATAGGCAGGAAGAGAGAACAGCAACTGCCTAAGTCTGAGGGCACTAACAACCTTGGTCTGTTTGAGGTTTGGAAAAGCAGGTCTGGAGCAGAGTGATACACCAAGGTGAGGCAGGTTAAGTGGTCCAGGCCCAGATGGCCTTCCTCCCAATACCCCTGCCTGCTCAGCCTAGGGTGAATCCCCCACCCTTGCACTCATATAAGCATATACTGGTCTCATTGAACACAGCTCATGATCTCTTGGAAAAGAAATGTTAGATTTTATCTTGGCTTGGTTTTTGAAGGAGGATGCCTGCTTTAGTAAGCTGAAATACGGTCTGGATTTAAAAGAGTTGAGAGCATGGGTTTTGATGCCTTAGGTATACATGTATCCTTATACGTACAGAGGCAGTCCTTCTGTATGCCAATTTTTAGTTTGAAAAAATGAGATCATTGTGCCAGTGTGATCAAATATTATAGTCAAAGTGACAAATCAGACCATTTATCCTACAGTTAGATTATTCAGGAATTGTAGAAAGTTTGCTGGAGTTACCAGTTTGCTGCAAAGCACTCTAGGATAGTCCAATTTTTTTAATGACAGAGTTTAGTGTGAGTACTGCAATTTACTTGCATCTTTGGTCTGTGTCTCAGTAGCCTATTTTGCCTGATTTCATTGTGGAAAGGTGAAAAGTTCAAGTTTACTTCGGACAGTTCTGTGTTACATCATCCATTATAAGGAACACATATTGAAGGTAAGTTAGTGTGTTATATATTTCCTTGAACATTTATTGAGATTCAAACACTTATACTAATTTTTACCAAAAGATTATTGGATATTATGAATACAAGTTCATTTTAGATTGATTTTAATAGTACTATGTTGTGAATTATACTCTTAATATTCTTTTTTTGTGTGTGTGAGGAAGATGGGCCCTGAGCTAACATCTGCCAATCCTCCTTTTTTCTTTTTTTTTTTTTACTGAGGAAGACTGGCCCTGGGCTAACATCCGTGCCCATCTTCCTCCACTTTATATGGGACGCCGCCACAGCATGGCTTGCCAAGCAGCGCGTTGGTACGCGCCTGGGATCCGAACCGGTGAACCCCAGGTCACCGCAGCGGAGCGCGCGCACTTAACTGCTTGTGCCACCGGGCCGACCCTCCTCTTAATATTCTTAATAGGAATCATTCAGGCATCATTTCTAAGCTGTATATTTACTAGTGGCTCAATATCTTCTCTTCTTTTTGCTAATTAGTTTCCACAAAGCATACTAAAAAATACCTTTTTTAAAAGCAGAAAATTTTATGGGTCAAAATGTTCCCAAGTATGGGCCGGCTCCGTGGCTTAGCGGTTAAGTGCGCGCGCTCTGATGCTGGCAGCCCGGGTTCGGATCCCGGGTGCGCCCCGAGGCACCACATCTCCGTCCAACCCGAGGCCGAGTCCCGCGTACAGCAACTAGAAGGATGTGAACCTACGACATACAACTATCTACTGGGGCTTTGGGGGGAAAAAATGAATAAATAAAATCTTTAAAAAAAAAAAAATAAAAAAAAAATGTTCCCAAGTAGAATGTAGAACGTAATGCCACTGAACTTTAGGAAGCCAGCTTGTTTACTCAGGATGTTAATGTACAATTCTAACTCTGTTGTTTTCAGCATAGACTTAAATTATTGGTCCCTCTATCAGTAATTCAGAGTAGTTCCGTCAGACTGGATTTAAAAAAAAAATTTTATCCTAGTTTCATCACATTTTAGCTCCATAGGAAAAGCATTGAATTTAAAGGGAAGATTTATTTTATTTTTTAAAAAATTTTTCTTTTTTAGGAAGATTGTCCCTGTGCTAACATCTGTTGCCAATCTTCCTCTTTTTTTTTTCTCCCCAAAGCCCCAGTACATAGTTGTGTATCATAGTTGTAGAGTTGTAGCTCTTCTATATGGGACACTGCCTCAGCATGGCTTGATGAGTGGTGAGTGGGTCCGCGCCCAGGATCTGAATCTGTGAACCCCTGGGCGCAGAAGCAGAACATGCAAACTTAACCACTATGCCACTGGGCCGGCCCCCAGGTTTATTTTCTTAATTACTTAAACTTAAGATAATGGATTGGCATTATTGTTAGAACTAGTCGATTGCGGTTTCCAAATTATAAAGAGGATTGTCAGATATGTTTGGATTTTTCATTCACATTTCTGTTTTTGTCAGTAAAAATCTCTTTTCTTCCCATGTGCTTTAATACAAACATTTCTTTTCAGCTATTCACAATACTTATATTTAGGACCTGTCAGCTGCGAAGAAAAATACCTCACCCCACTGCCAGAGCAGTACAGATTAGTGACACTGTTTTTTTCTCTTTAGTGTAAGTAAAATGATATGATATAATTGATAAAACCCATTGCCATTCCCTCAAATGCCTGTTGCATATTTTGCTTCCATCCCTTGGAATCACTCATTTCATTTCTTCTTATCGATAGCTATTCATTATTCAATATTCAGTTCAGGAAACCCCTGTAGGAAGCCCTTCCTCCCTGAACAGCCACAAGACCAGTCCTCTAACTTGCAGTAGTCTCTCCGGCTCTTTCTCTTAGCTCTTCACACTATTACTTGTCCTTTAGTGCATTTATATTTTATCCCTATCTAGATTTGAAGTGTTATGAAGACACTTACCAACCATTGTATCACCACTGTATCTTTTAGTTTCAAGTTGTTAGATGTTTCATACCTTTCATCGTGCCATGTACCTAGTAGGTACTTCTAAAGTACTTATGAACCTTTATAGTTTCTTTTCTTACATACTGACCCTCTTATTTCCCTAGATAGGAAGAGTTAAGGCTTAGTACACAAATAATACTAAATTGCCTTTGTTTGATCTTCATAGAGCTTGACTTTTTCCTTAAAGAAAATATTTTCTAACTTTAAAATGTGTGGGAGTGTAGCAGGGGCAGAAAAGAAGGCTGAACTCGTTGAACGCAGGGACTGTGTCCAGAATCCATCAGAGTGTTGTCATGTTAATTTAGAATTAGTGACTTTTACACAGGAGCCATGGCGTACTACTCTACAAGGCTGAAGACCAGACAAACCTATTCATGGGTTGGCAGGCCGTTGCTGGATCGAAAACTACAGTACCAAACCTACAAGTGAGTGATGGAGTCTTTTGATTGTCCTGGAAATATAGCTTCTCCAAGCTAAACTGTTAATAACTTGTATCTACTCTGTTCTAGTTACTATAGGTTGAGGATTGAGGGACAGTGAATATGAATTGATTGTAAGGAGAGGTTTTTTGTAATACAAGAAGATGGTAGCATAAATATAGCAGTTAGTGATAGAGGAAGAAATTATGTCAGGTTAATAAAATTTATTAAGTATGATAATGTCATATCTGTTTGAGGTGGGTTCTGTGTGATTCTGCATAACGGGGTAGGATTAGATGGTCTTATTATGTCCTTCCCAGCCCTAGAGATCTCTGAACAATTTGATACTGTTATTCGGCAGCCTTCATGCCTTGGGAAAGACTTTGTTGGTCTTTGTCAATAATTGAGAGAAGTTAGGGTTCATATTAAGTCCTCTGGATTAATTATTCATGCTAAAGCAATTCATTCAATCCATTTCATCTACTCTTGCATATAACTGGGTGAACTGGTTTCCCAGTAGTGTTGGTCAGCAGAGAGAAACTATTTAGGGGATTTTCCAGTTGCAGAGCACTTTTCTCTGTGCCCAGAGGTTCTATAGAGATTGGTCCCCCACTAAGTGATTTCCTAACATATTTCTCTGTTATTTCCTAGAGAAATGAGTGTGAAAATAGAAGGTTGTTCAACTGAGATTCACTTCCAAGTTGGACAGTTCGTGTTGATTGAAGGGGATGATGATGAAAATCCATATGTTGCTAAATTGGTTGAGTTGTTTGAAGATGGTGAGTTTGGGGCTAGAATGAAAACCATTTCTTGTCATGAATGATTGGGAAGTGCTAGGTGGTAGGGAAGAGAGGTGGTTGCCGATTCTTCTGTTCACAGCAGCATATCGGGTGTGAACCCTGGATTCTGGGGTGGGGTGACTTAAGTGCTAGCTGTACCCTCTTCCATCTAGTGAACTTTACTCACTAGAGCAGTATTGGGTAAAAATGGGGTCAGGGGGCTCAAGAATTTAGCTTTTCCATTATTTTTAGCAGTAGATAAGAATGGTTATTAAGGCAAGATTTTTGGAATAGAGAGAAAGGATGATTCAGGAAGAAGAGGGGAGAAAAAATAGGTGATTTGCACTCTAATAGAGATGTATCCTTGAATTTTGGCATGAGGAAATTAGTAATGAATTTTGCAAATGCAACTTCTTAATGAGGGAGGAGTTAAGTTGGATTGGGGAGGTGTATCGGTTGATGTTCAGTCAGGAAAACAAAAACACTTTATGTGTTTTACCCAGAGGGACTTGTGTATAAATGTTGAAAAGGCTGGAGGAACAAAAGGTGGTGTTTCCTAGAGATCAGTAAGTGCAGAAAGCCACTACGGCCCTAAGACTGGAGGAGCAAAAGGGAAGGCAGTGTTAACCAGAGCCTACAAGCCCGCACTCACAGCCTCACTGATTTTCTGAGCTTTTAACCCTCTGCAACATAGAGCAGAGTACAGAAAGGTGGGAATGGGGCAGAGCTCTAAAAGGAGGATTAAGAAGAAAGATAGCAATTTGAAACAACACAAAACTGCCTCTTCCAAGAGCTAGAAGCAGAATGACATGGTAGGTAGTCCTGGGGCAGTTTGTATGCCTGAAAAAAGGAACTGATAGAGTGAGTGGATAAAGATGTTTTACATCACAAAGAAAGGAAGGATCTTTGACCAGGACGGAGGAAAACTTCATCAAACCAACATTCACTAGGGGGAGCTCATCAGCAGTATGGGCTTTTGTATCAGAAAGCCCAAAAGGGCTTTGTATACAGATTTTAGAATCCTCATGCCTGGGTCTTTGTGTACAGATTTTAGAATCCTTGTGTAGTGCTCCAGTGGGTAGCTTCAATCTTTCTCTGAAGAGAGCTAACGAAGAGAGAGGCGATGGTGATGATGGCACTAATGAGTGTATGTCCTTTCACGTGGAGCTCATGCTGGTATGGATGATATTAGTGATGTATTATCATGATAAAGCTAAAGATTGCAAGCATATGTTTGCCAGGCGTCATCTCAGTGGCCGATGCTCTGATTCTTGCTGGGATTTTTGTTTTTCTGTTGTTTGATGGCTTCTTTACAATCACTGTTTTGCGAGTTTTGTTCAGTGCCTGTGATCAGAATTGCTGCTCTTTTGTAGAATTGTACAATTTAGAACTACCTTTTGTGGTTTCTTTGATGACTGATAGCACCAATAGAAAGTGGATCAAAGTGAAAAGAACGTGGGTGCGGGGTGGAGTCAGATCGCTGCTGATTGGTCCTATGACCTTTGACAAATTGCTTAAGGTCCCTGAAACTTGATTACTTAGCATGTAGAAGGGAGATAGCCATAGTACCTACCTTGTAGGGTTGTTGTGAGATTAAGGATAATATGTTAATCAAGTATTAGCAAGTGCTCAACACAGTGTCTGGTGCATCAGAAGTGCTTAATAAAATGTTTTCTGATTGTCTTAACCTTACCTTTCCCACCTATCCCTCCTAGGTTCTGAACCTTATTCCAGGAAACGTGCTCGAGTACAGTGGTTTATCCGATTCTGTGAAGTCCCTGTCTGTAAACAGCATTTGCTGGGCCGGAAGCCTGCTGCCCAGGAGATATTCTGGTACGATTATCCTGCCTGTGACAGCAACATTAATGCCGAGACCATCATTGGCCCTGTGCAGGTAGGTGATGCCGTGATCCTCAGTTCTATCTTGAAGCTTATTTCTGGCTGCCTCCTAAACTGCATGGCCTTAAAGATATCACTGGCTCTATTTACCCCACAGAAATGAATTTTCCCTGTTTGTCATCTTCTCTGCTTGCTTGTCTGCTTCACGTCGCATATATCTATTGGGAACACTTACCAGGTGTGAGGAGCCTCCTGGAGGAAGTGACATTTAGCTTGTGACCTGAGGGATGAGCAGGAATTAGCAAATGTATCTCATTGGGAAATTATATTTAGCTATGATTATGGCAGGCATAAAGCATTGTGAGGCTGAATACGCTTGCTTAAATGAGGATTTCACCTTGACTAAATCAGTACAAAGAGTGTGAGTTGGTAAATTTGTGTTATGGGATTTTTATGATAAATCAGTTTCCAATGAGTTGTGGATAAATTGAGACATTGGTTTGGAGACTAAGATATGAGTTATTTCTCAAGCTCCTTGAGGCCCTCCAAAAGGGGATTAGATCCTGATGTGAAGTGTGGTTGCATTGTGATTAGGTGGTTGGCATGATGGTAGTGCAGAGAGACTTTGGTCTGGCACGACTGTCATCAGATTTTTCCAATTTGTGGGCCCAGCATAACACATGCCACAAAATAATTTATCTCTGAGTTCAATGAGTGAAGGAGTGAAAGGCAGATATAGAAGTTGAAGTAGGAAGATGAGTAGATTTGGAAAGGCAGAGAGGGATGTGGGTGTTTAGGCAGGAGCACAATGGTGGGAATGAGCAGAACTGTGACAAGCCAAGCTCCACTAGTGATGGAAGGCCATTTCGAAGAGTATGGAGCACTCAGGAGGTAAAGTGGGGCCAGATTTTAGAAGGCATTGAAAATTAGTTTAAGTAATCTGATTTTGCTATAGTGGGGAGCCATTATAGACTACTGAGGAGGGGAGCATGCTTAGAGAAGTTTTTGTGGGGAAATTTGGCACATCTGGGTGAATAGAATGGCCCAGAAAATAAAGCAATGTGGGGTATGGATATCAGTGAGGAAGAGTCTGGAAATATGCTCTGCCATGTCTGTGCCTCTTTAGTTTGGAAAAGTAACGATCCAGGTAAGGGTGCAGATTTAAATGCTTTTTAATCATAGCTCTTGTGGAGCATTCTTTGGCTCTTTTGGTCTCCATTTCCTCCTATTCACTATACTTCTTACATTCAGGTAGTAGCTTTAGCCCCAGATGCAGTGATACCTACGGATCTGAAAAATGAGAAGACACTCTTTGTGAAACTATCTTGGAATGAGAAAAAGTTCAGACCACTATCCCCAGAACTATTTGCAGAATTCGAAAAGCTACAAGAAGGCAGCCCTAGATGCCAGAAGCCTGTGGAAGCCAAGACTAAGAGCATAGAAAGCCCTTCTTGGACCACAGCAGAGCATGCGGTCAAAAGGATTGAATCGAGGCACTCCACCTCCAAATCTCGCCCAACGCCTACCCATCCTGTCACCCCAAGGGCAAGGAAGAGGCTGGAGCTCGGCAGTAAGTGTGGAATGGGCCACAGTGAACAATAGTGAGGCTAAAGGAATATGATATTAATAAGATATTAATTCATGCTACAGTATTGAGTTAGTGCAGCAGTGGGTCAGGTACTGATTGGACACATACTGAAATATATAAAACATAAAATTTACCATGTTAATCTTTTTTAAGTATACAGTTTAGTGGCATTAAGTGTATTCACATTGTTACACAACCATCACCATCATCTTCCAACCATTAAACAATAAATCCCCATTCTCCCCTCCCCCATCTTCTTGCAACCATGATTCTACTTTCTGGCTCTGAATTTGACCACTCTAGATACCCCATATAAGTGGAATCATACAGTATTTGTCTTTTCTGACTAGTTTATTTAAGTTAGCATAACGTTCTCAAGGTTCATCTATGTATTATGTGTCAAAATTTTCTGTCTTTTTAAGGTTGAATAGTAGTCCATTGTATCTATATACCACATTTTGTTTATCCATTCATCTGTGAATGGACACTTCGGTTTCTTCTACCTTTCGACTATTGTGACTAATGCTGCTATGAATAGGGAGCACAAATATCTGCTCGAGTCCCTGCTTTCATTTTGGGTATATACCCAGAAGTGAGATTGCTGGATCTTATGATAATTCCATTTTTAATTTTTGAGGAACCACCATACTGTTTTCCATAGCAGCTGCACCATTTTACATTCCCACCAACAGTATACAAGGGTTCCAGTTTCTTGACATTCTCACCAACAGTTGTTATTTTCTGTTTTGGATAGTAGAGCCATCCTAATGCGTGTGAGATGGTATGTCATTTTGCATTTCCCTAATGATTAGTGATGTTGAGCCCTGTAATCAGCTATTTCTTCAAGAGCTCTGCTACTAAGGTGACATTGCTTTTAGATCCCTAGTGCAAGAGCTAAGAAATATATATGTTTTAAAACTCTTGAATTCATACTGATTCTTCTAATCTATACCACAGGGTTCTCCTCCTTCCCATATTCCATAATTGTATCTCCCTTCTCCAGGAAGAAGAGCCCTGGTTCCCACAAGCAATTCCTGATACACAAAATAGTTTCACAATTGCTCTACCAATACTACTACCAGCAGTAAACTTACCAGTCAAGTTCAAACTTTATTTGCAGATCTTTATGCCTTTAGAATATATTCTACTAAGAGAGTCAAGTTCCTTTGATTAAATTTTTTCTTTTGATGGTTATATTATTGGTGATATACAGTTAGGTTCTTTTATTTCTCTTTAATTTTAGGGCTTTTCCCATCTTTGATTTAATTTTTCAGACATGTGAAACATTAACATAGTTAAAGAGTCGAAATTATTTAAAACAAGTGTGCTCGCAGAAGCCCCATCCTTTCCTTACCCTGCACCCTGTTTCTACCACATCTTTTGTAGATAGTCAATTTTATTAGTTTCTGGTTTATCTTTCCTGTGTTTTTTTTTGCAAAGATCAGCAGATATATATATAAATGCACACACTCACATACATAGACGCAAACATGCGTATAATTTTATTTCCCATTCTTTCTTACCCAGTAGGGTAGCATACTGGATATGTTCTTTTCCATCTTACTTTTTTCGCTTATAATGTATTTGAAAGCCACTCTGCGGCTGTTCTAAGAGCTCATCCTCATCCTGTTATGTGTCATTAGTCCTTTTGAATTTTTGTGTATGTGCCAAGCTTGTTGGGTGTAAGTTATTTGTATTCTTCATAACTCCTTAGTACCGTGTGTATTTAGGAGCTGAAAATAGATGTATAAAACATTTGGGAAATGCAGAAAGATTACTAAAGAAGTAATTTGTAATATCGCCATTTAGAAATAATTGCAATATTTTTTGACTGTTGATTTTGGAGGACCTTGAAAGTTAGGGTAAGAAATTTGGACTTGACACAGTGACATAATTAGAGAAGGGAGGATATAATGAAAATATTTTGGGTGGATTGTTTTTGACAGAAAGATAGGAAAATGAGGTATGAAGAAGACTGGGACATTGGGGCATTTTTATGTTAATCTAGACATGAGTTACCCTTATATTTAGCACACAGGTACTAGATGATTCTTCTGGCCTTATCTGCAGCTCTTCCCCACATACCACATGCTGTGACTGAAGTGAACTCCTCTGTGCCCAGTGCTTCCCTGCCTCGTTTCTTAGCTCACATTCATCTCATTTATTGTCATCACGTATCCCTGTCCTTCCCTTTTCAACTCTGTTGAAATGTTGCCTTTCTTTCAAGGTCTATCTCAGAAGCCATAGTTATAAGCACTTAGGTGCTTGAGGACAATTATTTTCCTTCACATTATAAACATTCACATGTATCATCTCCCGTGTTAGACTAGATGTCTTGTGCATGGGGACCAGGATGAAGCCTCATTCAGCTTTGTTTCCTCCTAGCACCTGCACGGATCTTTCCATTTTAACAGCTCAGTTGATATCTATGAATGAATGGCTGGGATTCTTGGTGCCTTTGGTCACGGTGAGAGAGGAGCAAATCCAAACGTGGTTCTGTGTATTCACAGAACCCAGGTGACTGCCTCCGGCAATCCATCTTTTCTCTATTGGTAGATACAATCTGGGTTAAGAAAAATCTAGGCCTTGGTATTACGCAACAGAGCCACTGGTATAGATTTTTTCAAAAGCTATTGACTAGGGGCTGAGGGGTGCAGTATCACCCCTGGTTGAGAACCACTGTTCTGGTAGATTACTTCAGGGAAATTGGATTGCTGAACATTTATCAGCAAAATCTGACTTAAGAGTTGACTTATGGTTCTAACAAGGAAACTCACCCATGGAATTTAGGAGAGAGACTAAAAATAATAAGAGCTACCTGGCCTGGGGAAAGAAAGCATGGAATAATTCAAAATATGTGTGACTCATGTCTTTGTATAACTTCAGTGAATGAATTTATTTATAAAGAGACTGGGGATGTGTGTAGTGCCAGTTATAAAATTCACACATTGTCTATGGTGATTTCTCTTGGGCTTAGGTTCCCCTAGGACACCTAACACTAGGATTTCCCAGCAGACTTCACGGGCCTCGCTGGATTCTCCCAAAAGAACTAAACGGAAAGTGGCCTTCTCTGAAATCACCTCACCTTTTAAGAGGTCTCAGCCTGATGGACTTCAGACCCAGTCTCCAGCTCTGAAAGCCCCAGAGAAAACTACAGAGATTCAACGACGCTCTTGTGCCAAGGATAACAAGAAAGCTTCACCTGAACGCCACATGACCCTGAGAACCCGAGTCCCAGCTTTGAAAACCACAGTGATTAGTGAGGGAAAAAGACTTACCCCTATCAGGGGGGGACAGAGCTCCTCGGTGGTGCCTTCTGTGATTCTGAAACCAGAAATCGTCAAAAAGAGGTGACCAGGGACATTACCCTGCCTCCCACAGAAGAAATTGAGATCCTTCACATGGTGTGAAATGTGTGGGTCACAGTTGATAAAGTTAGAGCAGTGGGTCACAAATGTGTGTCAGCAATCACTAGGAGCTTTTCCAGAATACATATTTCTGACACTCTTCACAGACATAGTGAATCAATCGCTAAGTGTTGGGCCTAGGAACCTGCATTTTTGAAATGCTCTTTGGATGGTTTCTGATATACGCAGCTGTCTGTTAGGCATCTCTGTTCTAGAAGATAATTTCCCACACCTGAATTGCTTTACAGTCCTGGATTTCATTGCTTGCTGCAGCTCTTTGCCACATTTTAACAGTCATTTTCTTAGATTTTTTTTTTCACTGGAAGCCGTTTTCAAATACATATAGTACAAGAAGATAATGCATCTAGAACAAACTTTGCAGTTTGACGCTAGATAATGTTTGTAAATAATGGGCTGCACAAATAATGTGACAAGCCAGAAATTACACATTTCGATGCTTCCTGCTCAGAAACTCCAGCACCTGGCCCGTAACAGATCTGCTTGATACATACTTTGTATTGAATATATAGCTGCATTTCTGCTAACCTTGAGCCTGAGCGGACAGTAAACTCATAGATGGGTCAGAAACAAAAAAGGACAAGAAACGCTGCCTGGGATCAGTATATTCTGCTCTCTAGTTGGGGAGGTGGGAAATCTGATTTAAATTATAAGCTTTAGGCAAACTTTGATCTCTGGCTTTGAGTCAATATAAACTTTTTAGCAAAATGTGATTAGCTCCTTCCAAAGTAGCTGTGAAAAGAACAGGCGCCCGTCAGGCCACCTGACTGTCTTCTAGTGCCTGATCCCTAGAGCCCCCAACTGCTGCCTGTAACTTTGCTGTTATCCTGCAGGGAGGCCAAAGAACCGGAAGCTCAGGATGAAGCTGCCTCTACTCCCCGTCGTACCCACAGGAAGAGTTCCCTCTTGACTTTGAATCGGATTAGGCAGCAACTTTGGTAAGACTGCTCCTTGGCAGGTGGAAAAACGCCTGTCACTGCCATCTCTGAGATCCATAATCTAATTTCTTAAAGCATCTTATATTTCTCATTTGTTATTTGCTAATCCATTGAAATTCACCTTTTACCTGGTATGTCTGGAATTATATTAATTTCACATAAATGTCACAGTTTGAAAGGGGCAAGAAATACCCACCTGGGCTTAGGTGGCTCCCAGGTCCCCATAAGCATCACACCCAGCAAGACTGTAGTGGGGTGCCTAAGAGCATGAAGTTTGATTCTGATAGACTTGAATTTGCACCTCAGCTTTTTCATTTACTATCCGTGTAACCTTGGGTAGGTTATTTAACCTATCTAAGCCTCAGTTTCCTCATCTGTAAAATGGGAATAATAATATACAAGTCACAAAGTTGCTGAGGGATTTAATGAGATAATATAAATAAAGCCCCTAGCAGAGCATCTCAATAACAGGGGCCCCAGGAGTTGGGCACATCCTTACTGCTTGGTCGCAGGAAAGACTCTGCAATACCTCTAATCCACCATTCAGGTTTTTAGGTAATAGTAAAAGTGACCAAGACGATGAAGAGTTTCTGCCAGCAGCAGAGATTTCAGACTCTAGCAGTGAGGAGGAAGAGGCTTCCACACCACCCCTTCCAAGGAGAACACCCAGTAGTGTGTCCAGGAACCTCTGTTCTTCCACGACGTCATCCCTACAGACCCCCTCCAAGACACCAAAGAAAACTGTAAGGTTCTTTTAGGTTTAGTTTCTTAATTTAAAAATTATGATGGCTCTTAATTTACAAATTGTAAATTTTAGTTTATAATTTTAATTTATTTTAAAAATTGTGATGGTGGAGGTCACACAATTAGTAACAGCTGGATTCTGAGCACAGGTCTGTCATATTCAAAGCTATTCCACTTGGAATATTCATGGAGGAAAGGATCTAAGTGAAGCCTAGGACTGAAAATGAATCCAGTAGGCAATGCTTTTTGAGTCCAAGTTCCTTTTAAGATACAGAAGCAAATGGCCAAGAGCCGAACTTCGCAAGGGAAGAGCAAGAACTGACTCCTCGTCTTTGCATTTCCCACGAAAGCTAGCAGAGTGCTTTGTGCATAACCAGTGCTCAGTAGGTGTTGAATCCAGGGCAGCCAGCCATGTTGTTGGTTTTGTTGTGCTGCTTGATACACCTGAGAAACAGGGAGTACTACTTGGAGATTGGCAATGAATTGTGTAATGGTAAGAGGGAAGAGACCAACGGACGTGTCTTCTGTTTCCTGTGGAACTTCAGCAGAACGTTGAAAGCTATTAAGAAAAGACGGTCTTCCCATGTTCAGATTTGTTTGAGAAATGTTTGGATTAAACAAAATTAAACTGGTTTCATTATCACATGGCTTCTCAAGGCCAATAATTTATTAATGTTGTTGTGACCTTCCAAGAGAGCATTAGTCTATGAGTCTTTGACCAGGAAACATTTTTCGTGGAGTATCTTGTTCTTTGGAAGACAGTTTGGAAATGCCTAATTAGGAGACTTTTTCTAAAGGTGATCTCCTTTTTTCCATATCAAGAAAAATGTGATTGGGCTTGGATCTATCCAATAGCTCATGTTTGGACTAGAGGCAATCAAGCCTGGAGTACCTTATTATGCAAACAGCTCACCAATGTTCTGGTTTGATTGCATCTCCTGGGCCCTACCCAGAAGAAGAAATATAGGGTGGTAGGGTTCTTTAGCATAATTAAAAAGATGAGAAGTCCACCAAGTTTTTTGATAGCTTCTCAGAAAGGTTTTGTTATTCCTTTCCTGTTTTCTCCAAAGTTAATAGATATAAAACCTTTAAACAGACAGGGTCTGAGTGCTTTCTGTCTGAGGAAGAAGTGGAGAGATTATCAGTCTATAGCCAGGCTGGAAGCAGAGGGTGGGGGGCAAAATGCCCCCCGAAAAGGGAGTGCTTTGTGGAAACATGAAGATGGGATAGCAGGCCTGCTCTAGTGAGCCAGTAACAAGGAAAAAGAGAATAGGACTGTTAACCTAGGCTGAGGAGTGACCCTGGGGTTTGGAATGGGAAAATCTGGTGAGGTTTTTCCAAGTATAGTCATGTGTCACTTAACGAAGGGGATATGTTCTGAGAAATGTGGTGTTAGGTGATTTTGTCATTGGGTGAACATCATAGAGTGAACTTACACAAACCTAGATGGTACAGCCTACTACACACCTAGGCTATATGGTGCTAATCTTATGGGACCACCGTTGTATGTGTGGTCTGTCATTGACTGAAACGTTGTTATGTGGCACATGTTTATTGAATTGTGGATTGCGGAAGTTCTGAGCTACAGTTTGACCGTATTTTCAAAGAAATCTAGAGGAGGATCCTGTGAATCAAATTCAATTTATGCCTCCTATTCTACCCTGGATTTGGGCAGAGTAGTTAGGATTTCTTAGTAATTTCTTGTCTTTCAAGATAATATTTTACTTTTAAATAGTATTTAATCCATACTTATATTCATTCTTTGCTCAGGTTGACATTGTTTTCAAATCCTAATACTGTATATAAATTAGAAATAAGAAATCTTGTTTGGACTATGAACAAAGTATATGTGTGATACAAGGAGAGAAAGGGAGAATCTTGGTACTTCATACAGTAGAGAACTAAGAGGAATTCAGTACTTCTCTTTTTATCAGATCATCCTGAATCAGATGTGCTGATGTGTCCTGGATGGTGTTTTGCTTTGTTTTTTCCTTCTGAAATTCGTTCTCTTTTCTGAATACAGCCTGAGTCTAGAATGCCATATCATGCCACTCCACGGATCCGTAGCCGCAACATGGCTGCCCAGGAGCCGACCAGTGTGTTGGAGGAGGCCCGGCTGAGGTGATACTGCTTGGTGGCCCCTGTCAGTTATGCAGAAATGGGGCCTCTTCTTTCATTCACATGAAATGGGAGTAATTTGCAGTCATTTGTGTACATAATAAAAGATGAGGGTAAAATGAACGTGTGTGTATAGAAAGAAGAAACCTTTGAAGCACTGTCTGGGGGAGCTACGAGGACAGGTTCTAGGAGGAGTAAATTTCCAGATGACTGCCACCATCTTCTCAGGGATGGGAGGTAATTAGTCAGGATACTGCTTCTCCGTTATGGTACCCTTTAGAACTATGTGGGGACTTTTCAAAATGCGTAAAGCCTAGATCCTGCCTGAAATCAACTGAATCAGAATCTCTTGTGGGATGAAGTCCACCCATATGATTTGGAGAAAGCTCCCCAGGTGATACGTACCCTTGGTTAGAACCACTGAGTTGGGTGATTTGGGTAGAGAAAGGGATTATGAGGCCAAATGAAGAGATTTGAGAATGAAGGTATTCCCTTGGATTTATGATTGAGGATTCATATAGAAACTATTGATAAGTCTTTCCCATTTATTATTGAGTAGATGGTGAAATGCTTCTAAAGTCCTCCTTTTCCCTCATTTACCACCAACTGTAGGCTGCATGTTTCTGCGGTACCTGAGTCTCTTCCCTGTCGGGAACAAGAATTCCGAGACATCTACAACTTTGTGGAAAGCAAACTCCTTGACCGGACTGGAGGGTGAGTCATGCTGAGGCAGGCAGGATGGTCAGGGCGGAAGGCCCCTGCTAGTACACCACCTCAGGGGTTATAGTTCAACCAAAGGGTCTTTCTCTAGTGTCAGAAAGGCAGGCAAAATCATTACTGAAGCCTAAAGCTTCTGGAGCAGCTTTTGTTGTCAAAGTAATTCTACAGGAACAGAAATTCTGTCTTTCAGAGAGAATGAAACTGGCCTTCTTTGGGTAGGCAGTTTGCATATAGCATTGCTTATGGAATGAATGATTCTATATAAACAGTTCCTGCTCTAAGCAGCTTCTGAGGATGGCCCTTACTGGCCCCACCTCCACATTTCAGGGGTCCTGGTCCTTCCTTCAGCACACATTCCCTCACTCCTGACTGGTGATTTTGTGAGGCAGCTGGCACAGACCTAGCCCACAGGTCTTCCCTTCTTGCCTAGGTGCATGTACATCTCCGGGGTCCCTGGGACAGGGAAGACTGCTACTGTGCACGAGGTGATACGTGGCCTGCAGCAGGCCACCCAAGCAAATGATGTTCCTCCCTTTCAATACATTGAGGTCAATGGCATGAAGCTGACAGAGCCCCACCAAGTCTATGTGCAAATCTTTCAGGTAAGCAAAGCTATTTGGGCTTTTTGGAAAATACAGTTTCTTGGTGGCACATGATAAGGGAAATGTTTATTTAATTTTGTGTGTAACACATGTTTATGACATGCCAGGCATTGTTCTTTGTGTAGAGGTAGCAATGGCAAGGAAGGCAGAATTCCTACCCTCAAGGACCTTAAGTTCTAGGAGCTGGATATGAGTTACTAGAAGCCAGGACTTACCAACATGATGAAAACCACTGGTACACAGGAGGCTGTGTGGCAGACTGTGGAAAAGGGGTTAGAGGTAGGCCAGAGAGGGAACTTCCCTCTTCCATTCATTGGCTGTTATCTTGGAATAAGTAATGTCCAGTTCTAAATAGAGTCATATAGTAATGGTTTTGGAGGGGCTTCTGGGGCAAGTCTGTGGCTCGTTTGCATTTCAAACACACACACTTTTTATCTTCTATTTTGGTGCCTTCTCCTTCCAGGATCATAGCGTGGAAGACAGTATGGGATACTCAAGTCCTCAGACTAAATGGCTTCCTCTATTTGCAGATTTAACTTTAAGCCCAGGGGAGTAAAATCCTTGTGGTTTACTTGTTTGTCCCCCCAATGCAGAAGCTGACAGGCCAAAAGGCAACAGCTAACCATGCAGCAGAACTGCTAGCAAAGCGATTCCGCACCCAAGGGTCCTCTCAGGAAACCACTGTGCTGCTTGTGGATGAGGTAGGGGGCGCCCGTGGGGGGACTGGAGAAGTGGTGTAGTTCTTGACGGCGATGATCTGGGAGCAAATAGTGGGCAGGAGGGAAGTCCTGGCTCCCTTATTCATTTATCTGAGCCCCTTCTCTGGTGGGGAGATGCATGTGTCCGTTGACTTCCTTGCTGCTTTGGTGATGTGACCTGAGACGTACATGCAGCTAAAGCAGTGGTAACAGGTCTTCACTCTGGGTCCTGGCTCCGTCTCTGTGGTTGACCCTGCATCTCTCTCCATTTCCCTGGCAGCTCGACCTTCTGTGGACTCAGAAACAAGACGTAATGTACAATCTCTTTGACTGGCCCACTCACAAGGAGGCCCGGCTTGTGGTCTTGACGATTGCCAACACTATGGACCTGCCAGAGCGCATCATGATGAACCGGGTGTCGAGCCGACTGGTAGGTCCTCAGGCCATTCTTAAGCTGTTCTTATGGATCCATAAGCTAGGCCAAGGAGTTCTGCAGAAATGAATACATAGGAAACTAAAATAAATGGGAAAAGTAAGAAATGTGATTTCTGAAATTCTTAACATTTCTTAGTTGGAATTAAATATGTCACCATTGCATGATTTTCTGCAAACGTCTTAGTGTTCTGCTACCTGTGCACTCTTAAACGGCACAAAGCCCTGGAGGTTTAATTTTTTCAAAAGATATTTAAGCACTTGCCAGGCAGCGTTACATGCATGGAGTATCGCAGTGAACAAGGCAGATGCGCTCTCTGCCCTCGTGGACCTTGTGGTTCAGCTAGAAGCACAACATCAAGTACATATAAGCATGAAGGGGGAAGCCAGGAGCTGGGCCTGCACACGACGTAGAGCTGAAGATCCTGCCACCCACTCTCTAATTAGGGCACCTCTGCTTCTATCTACTTCTAATGATTCTGATGGAATAAAAAGTTCTTTTAAACTAAAGGAATAATAGTTGAGAACTACTGCCCTGCAGGATACCACTGGCCAATGTCAATAACAAAAGGAGCTGGAAGCAGTGGCAGTCCTGGGGTGAAGTGTGTAAATTGTTATACGGGACTTGGAAATTGGGTTTGGGGAATTGAGGGTGGCTTTCCACCAGGACGATCAGAGTGGGCAATCAATGAACTTGTTCCTCTGTCATCTTGGCTCCCCAGGGTCTTACCAGGATGTCCTTCCAGCCCTATACTCACAGCCAACTGCAACAGATCCTAGTGTCCCGACTCAAACATTTAAAGGCCTTTGAGGATGACGCCATCCAGTTGGTAGCCAGGAAGGTAAGTCACCCTTGGGGAGCCCCTAGCCACACCTACAAATCAGTTGGCAAGTCTTTGCTGAGCACCTTTCGGTGTGAGGCCCTGTGCTGGGTGTTCTGGGGATGGAGAGAAATTCAAGAAGTCCTGTTAAAACAAACGCAAAAAGTAGAAACAAAATTCTGAAAAATTCCTTAGCCTTCTTATCGTATAATTAATTAGAAAGCTATCACAATGGTGGGTTTATGTACAAATGAGGATTAATTGATTCAGGGAGCTGGCAGCTTTGTATAGTGAAAAAGGCAGAGTAGTCAGGTAGACAGACCTGATTTGAATTCCAGCTCTAACACTTACTAGGCATGTGGAAGATTATAGGAAAGTTACTTTATTTTATTTTATTTTTTTTTTTTTAAAGATTTTATTTATTTATTTTCTTTCCCCCAAAGCCCCAGTAGATAGTTGTATGTCATAGCTGCACATCCTTCTAGTTGCTGTACGTGGGACTCGGCCTCAGCATGGCCGGAGAAGCAGCGCCTCGGTCCGCACCCGGGATCCGAACCCGGGCCACCAGCAGCAGAGCGCAAGCACTTAACTGCCAAGCCACGGGGCCGGCCCAGGAAAGTTACTTTAAAACTTCCTGAGCCTCAGTTTTCTTCTCTGAAAAATAGGAATAATAATAGCAACCTCACAGGCTCATTGAGGGAATTAAATGAGATCATGTCTATGATGTGCCTAGCAAGACACACTCTCCATGGTGTGTATGAGGTGCTGGATGACCTACATCCTCCAGGCTCACTAGGGGCGTGCGACTGAGAGTCCACTGAGACTAGTCTCTGAGGCTGCTGAGGAACAAAATGGGTTAAATATCTGCCTTGAGCTGAACGCAAGAAACCACACATCCACAGTATTTTGGCATTTAAAAGAATTGTAAACGTATTCTAGTTTCTTGCCTGCAACAATGTGAACTCCAAACGCCTATAGCAGCAGCACGTGTCTGTAGCCCTTGCTCACAGCTGGCTACTCTATTAGGTCCTGGGTCAGGTGAGCCAGATATGGTGCTCTTCTTTAAGCTTTGCTTTCTAGGAGAGATCCTCAAAGTTACCATCTAACCCTTCTATTGAGTAGAGGTATTCACTTCTATCATGCAATTTCTAAAAGTTCTTTTTTTTTACCTCTCTCTGAATGGTCCTTTTTTATGCCATCCTATTTATTTATTTATTTATTTTTGTGAGGAAGACCAGCCCTGAGCTAACATCTGCCAATCCTCCTCTTTTTGCTGAGGAAGACTGGCCCTGGGCTCACATCCATGCCCATCTTCCTCCACTTTAAGCGCTTTTTTTTTTTTAATTAATTTTTTATTTATTTATTTCCCCAAAGCCCCAGTAGATAGTTGTATGTCATAGTTGCACATCCTTCTAGTTGCTGCATGTGGGACGCGGCCTCAGCATGGCCAGAGAAGCGGTGCGTCAGTGCGCGCCCGGGATCCAAACCCGGGGCACCAGCAGCGGAGTGCGCACTTAACCGCTAAGCCACGGGGCCGGCCCCAGTGGGGACCATTTTAAAACAAAATTCTCCACTGGAGGTTTTTAAGAGACACAACATGAATTTGGCTACAAATCCATATGAGGGCTTGTGGTTGCAAAGACTCAGTGAGTTTTTTTATCCTGCACCACGCAGCACCAAGGTCAAAACAGGCCGTTTTTCTTATCCTTTCTGCAGGATGGGTCTCTCATTCACTCTCATACTGAGGCTGTTGTGAGGGTCAGGTCCCAGTTTATGCAAGATTTTCTCCTAGATTCCATGTTGGGTGGGCCCTAGCTTATTCTTTTGTCTCCCTCACCCCAGCAGCAGTCAAAAAGGTGCTTATGGTCACCAGGGTTCATGGATACCCTCAGGGTGAGAACTGCTTTGGGTGTTTTCTTGCCTCCCATGGTCCCCTGCTCACTGTTCTTAGGCTTCTGCAGGAGCTCGAGTCCACGCTGTTAACAACTTCACGTTCTACTTCACAAGGCAGTGGTAATGGTGATCGGAGGAAAGAAGGGATAGGGCGGAAACAGCCACAGGACAACCTCACCAACTGGATGTGGGAGATTAGAGAAAGGGAAGAATATAAGCTGATACTGCTTTTTCTGTCTTGGGTTACTGGAAAAGTGATTTTTGTTTTCAATGTCTTAAATTTGGATTCTGAAAACAGAAATATACACAAAACATTTAAAAACTCCTGTAATCCCACTTCCCAGAAATGACTACTTTTTTTTTTGCTGAGGAAGATTCTCCCTGAGCTAACATCTGCAGCCAATCTTGCTTTTTTTTTTTTTTGCTTGAGGAAGATTAGCCTTGAGCTAACATCTGTGCCAGTCTTCCTCCACTTTGTACATGGGGCACTGCCACAGCATGGCTGGTGAGTGGAGTAGATCTGCGCCCGGGATCCGAACCCATGGACCTGGGCCGCTGAAGCAGAGCACGTGGAACTTTAACCACTTGGCCATGGGGCTGGGCCCCAGAAATGACTACTTTTAATGTCTTGGTGTGTTGTGTATATATATATATGCCTGTACAGTTTGCTTAATGTAGCATGAATTTGGGAAGGAAATAATTATTTGGGGATGTTGTCGCTTGTGATGGTTGTCAGGCAAATGGTGGGGATTGCTGGCAAGTACTGAGAATATAGAAACAGAGATCCTTGCAGGCCACAGTGAGTCTAAGAATTCCCTCAGTGAGACTTAAGAATCAAGCGGCCTTCTAAGTCAGCCTTGGAGAGAGTATAGGATTCCTGTGAAGGGAGCTCAGGAGCCCCTTGGCCTCTGCACACATGGAAAGGAAGGAGCCACAGCGGAGCCGTTGGCATTGTGAGTTGGTCTGATTCATCTAACCACAGATTCCTCTGCGTCTTCCAGCTTTGTGGCTTCCTTCCCTCTTGATTCTGGTTCGTTTAGCCATTGACCATGTGGTCTCCAAAATTCACCACACGCTGTGAGGGAGGCTCAGGCTGTGGCTTTATCTCCAAAGGCTCCACCTCAGCCTCTTGGCTTAGGCTGGCTGCTTCTGGGGGCACATTTCTCTCTTCATGCCAGGAATGAGAACCCTTGTGTTTCCAGATGGTTAATAATGATCTCAGGCCAAGGGTCTCTTCTTTTAAATTTCATTTCCCTAATATTAAATAAAGCTAAGAATTTCTGCCTTTTCATTGTAGAGTTACCTGTAAAACCAAAACAAAGGTTTGGACTTAGGGAAAAGTCTCAGGCATAGTAGAATAATTTATATCTGGGCTTCCAGGTTCTCAGCCAGGGCTAAGTACTTAACTTCAGACTTAAGTCCATTCCCAGTACCACCTTTCCTTTTTAGCTGAAGATAAAAATCTGTGTTTCTCCTGGAATCAGCCGCAAGGGGACCTCAAGGAATAAAATGTTCCCTCTTGTAGGTAGCAGCCCTCTCTGGAGATGCACGACGCTGCCTGGACATTTGTAGACGTGCCACAGAGATCTGTGAGTTCTCCCACCAGAAGCCCGGCTCCCCTGGCCTGGTCACTGTAGCCCACTTACTGGATGCAGTAGATGAGATGTTTTCATCGTCGTACATCACTGCCATCAAGTAAGATGCTTCTGCTTCCTGACCCTGAACCTTCCTTGGAAGACCACTGGGGAGGGCCACAGTCTGGGAAGGCCATGGGAGCGTTTCCCTTTCAAAGCTTTTGCTCATTCAACCTGCATTTACTGAAGACACGGTCCTTTTTCTTAAAGGGCATGGTCTAGTCAGGGAGACAGAAATGTGAACCTAGAAATGATAGGAAAGTAATTACCATGTATTGAATTACGCTATGGGTGTTCAGTGAAGTAACGTGCTGTGGGAGCAAGGAGAGGGAAGCAGCCACTTTTCTCGTGTGGAATGATATACTCAGCTCATGAAATGGGGGTGCTGGGACATTTCCAGATGTGGTTGCTGTGTTCCTGCACTTCTTTTTTCTATATCATTTTGAGACTTTGAGGGGTAGGGGGTCCTTGCTAAATAATGTGGGAAGAAGTATTCCCCAGTTTTTTCCTCTCTTTTCTCTAAAGATGCAGAAAAGCTTTATTTGGCTTTCCTCTAGGCTGGTGGTACAGCTGCTTATGAGAATTCATGTCTCCTCATTTTCTTTAAGAAATTCCTCCGTTCTGGAACAGAGCTTCCTAAGAGCCATCCTTGCAGAGTTCCGTCGATCAGGACTGGAGGAAGCAACATTTCAACAGGTGATTGATCTCCTTTTTTCAAATCCTTCTAGATTTTGGTCCAGTGCCTTTCAAATAGGTGGGAATTTTAATCACTGTGTAACAGTTTATCTCTATTTTGTGCCAACCTGATTATGCTAAAGAATATCAGACCAACACCTATTTTTATGTGATATTTTATTGAGTTGCATGAGAAGAGACCTTTAACAATTGGTTTCTGCATATTAGATTGAAGGTTTACTATATGCCAGATACTATTCTAGGAGTGAGAGATCCAAAGATGAACAAGATAAAAGTTACTGCCCTAATACAGCTTATGGTGTAGTGGGGGCAAGACTTACAGAATGAGCCATGTTTAAAAACAAATCACAAAGATCAATCTGAACACTCTCTGAGCATAGTTTCAATTATATATTCAATAAAAGGAATCATTAAGGCTTGTGCCTTAGTGGTTTATTTAAAACTGGTACCCATAGGTAATGAGCTGCTGTAGATGAATTGTGTACCTGGGAGTATATATGTCTGTGTCTGTGTATGTTTTAGACATACAAATAGATCAGGAAAACATTTTCCTTCCATCTACTTTTTTACTTCCTTTCAGCTTTTCTTCTTTAAATATGTAGTTGCTGGTCATGTTTTGCCTATTATTGTTCTCCTTCTCGAGCCTGAGACAACTCTTCTGCAGAGAGAGACTATCATTTTAGTTTGTAAACATTTTCTAAACATCTACAGTGTGCCGTTAACTGTGATGTGTGCCAGGAACCCTGAGCCGAATTGGCTAATATCCCTGCTCTTGACAAGCTCTCAGTCTTGGTGGGGGATGCGGGGAGACAGACTTAGAGTGAGAATCGAGAGTGACCAGAAAGTGCTACAGACTTGCCTGACCCACTGGGGGGCTTTCGGAATCTGTTTCCAGCTGTCCTTCTGCCTCTCTCTATTCAGTATTTTCTCTGGGCCTTTGTGCTTTCCAAGGGTCATGCCTTGGCACCTGCATGCTGTATCTGCTAAGGAAAATGCCCTTGTAGCAAAATTTGACTTGAATTATGACAGTCTCAACTGTGGAACTCTCTGGAGTTCCTGGAGACTAGGACTGTTCGTATTACAGTGACAGTTACTAGACATTTTATATCATGAACTCATGAGGGATACTGCAGTACATTTAATACATAAAACTGAAGCTCAAAGAGTGAAATAACTTGCCCAGGGTTGCATATTTAGGTAGTTGGTAGAACCAGGATTCAGACCAGCTGTTCTCTGGTTCTGAGGTCACTATTGCATTCTGCCCCTGCATTTGTGCCCCACTGGGGTTCCCATTGATGCCTTCTGGGGTATTGAGTATTCTGAACCAAAGAAGAAATAAATGATCATAACAGACCCAGGACTACCTTTCCTCTTAACCTTTCCGGCAGCTGACCTCAGATTTGCTTTTTGTCTCTAGGTGTACAGTCAACACGTGGCACTGTGCAGGATGGAGGGACTCCCGTACCCCACCATGTCAGAGACCATGGCCGTGTGCTCTCACCTGGGCTCCTGCCGCCTCCTCCTCGTGGAGCCCAGCAGGAACGACCTGCTCCTTCGTGTGCGGCTCAACGTCAGCCAGGATGATGTGCTCTATGCTCTAAAAGAAGAGTGAAGGCTTCATGAGGAAGGACTGCTGGGGTGTTTGGGTTTGGGTTTGGGTTTGGGGTTGTTGTTGTTGTTGTTGTTGTTTTTGATCTGCTCTTTTTAAAGAGCCTGATTTTCTTTTTCTAAGCACATGGAATTGTTGTAGCAAAGTATACTCAATGGAAATGGCTGTCATGTATTTTGGAATTTTCCATTAAATAATTTGCTTTTCCCAGAATGTCTGGGAAGTTTGTAGTCATTACAAACATCAGATTATAAAACCAAACCATCCCTCCTACCATAGGAGCCTCCCTCTGAGTTTTATTTCTGTTAGTAGCCGTGTCATTTATTTAATGGTAACATATCATTATGTAAATATATGCACACAATTACTTGTATCTATATAAAATAGTTCTGGGAGAAATATGTAAGAAATTGGTTACAGTGGTTGGAAAGAACTGGATGGCTATAGTCGGGTTACAGGAAGACTTTCACTGTATGTCATTACATATCTTTTAGCTTTTGAACAATGCGAATGTAACAAACTTAGTTTATGAGGAAAAAAACTGCTTGAAATAATGTCAGTGATAAATAATCCCTAGCAACAAATAGCTACGAAATGTAATTTTTAAAAAGGTACCATTTATCCTAAAACAAATCTTTAAATAAAAAAGACTTAGATGGCACAGAAAATATAAGGTACCTAGGAATAAATTTAATAAAGAGATGTAATTAATCTCTAAATACAAATTGATTCCAATCAAAATCTTAGGGTTTTTTGTATAACTTTGCAAGTTAATTTTAATATTTATATGGAAACCAACAACGGAACAAACGGACATCCCAAGTCTCCTTATGTGAGGCACTGAGAAAAACACATCATCCATGCAATAGTCCTGCCAGAAATGTTTGACCTGAATCTACTGGTGAGAAAATTATCAGATAAATCAAAATTGAGGGAAAAATATTCTGCAAGGTAACTGCTCCTCTTCAAAAATATTAATATCACAAAAGACAAACAAACATGGAGGAACTATTCTAAACGAAAGGAGAATAGAGAAATGAGAGCTAAATAGCTAAATGCACTGTGTGAACCTTGCTTGGGTCATGGAATTAAGAGATACAAACAATTATAAATATTATTGATTATTCATATTAGGTAATAGTACAATGTAAATGTTCAGTTTTGTATGATAAATTATTGTGATTATGTAGGAGAATGTCCTTTTTAGAATCATGAAGAAATATTTATGACCATATAACATCTGCAACTAATTCTCAAATAGTTCAGAAAAAAAATGCATGTATTTCTAGCTGAGTAGAATAGACTGAGGATCAGTATCAGAATATTTTAAAGGATTACACAATAAGAAAAAGGAAAAATGGGTAAATAAGTCATCCACAGAGTAAGAAACATGAATGATCAACAAAATGGAAACATAGTAAAAGAGGCCTGCAAGTTAAAACCCTGCACATCTGTTAGAAAACCTTTCCATGGTGATATTGAACAATTGGAACCCAAAGGCCCCACTGAGGGAGTGTAAACCGGAACAACTACTTTGTAGATAATTTGGTAATATTTAGTTTGGAAAATGCAGAAATCTATGAGCCAGCAATTCCACTCCTAGGTATATATCCTAGAGAAATATACGTGTACTAAGAGTTGTGTACAAGAATGTGCACAGCACTGTAATGGCAAGCCACTGAAAAAGTGAATTATTTTCATACTATGAAATACTATACAGAAATGAAAAATAATAAAGTATAAGTATCAATGTGAATGAAGCTTATAAACAGGGTTGAGCAGAAAAAGTTGAAGAATACATGCAGTGATACCAATGATATAATGTAAAAGCTTGCAAAAAATACTATGGATCGCTTAAGGGTATATACATACATAGAAATAGAAAGAAATGCTCAGGAATAATAAACATCAAATTCAGGAAAGTGGGTATCTCTTTGGGAAAGGGTTGCAACATGAGAGGTGTACAGGTTGCTTCCACCATAACGTACTGTTTTTTTTTAAACCTGTGGTAGGTGGCCATGCATTTATGCTAATTTACACAAGAAATAGGAGCTATTTATTGAGTGCCCACTATGTACCATGCACTGCTCTAGGCACTGGAAATAACCTAGAGAACAAAAACTGCCTTTGTGGAGCTTGCATTCTAGCAAATGTGAAATATTCTATATCTTTCTGTATATCTTAAATATTTCATTATAAAATTTAAAAAAATTTTTTAATGAGAAAAAATATTGGAGTGAAACTTCAATTTTAAAATAGTAAAGTCGCTCTCTGCTTTGGGAAATCACCCAAAAGCAATGAGATGGACAAGCTCTTTGTCCAAGGAAATTGGAAGATCTTTGAAATCGCTGAATACAAAACGTAGTAATAACTTAAAAGTGTAGGAGATAGGCAGGAGTAAGTGAGTTGCAAGGTTTATTTTAGGTGAGATTCTAACGCCTGCCCCCCCCCCCCATTGCCCTGCAGGGTAAGGGAGTAAGAACTCGGTGTTACACTGTCTTAAGTGACTTCATGAAGAGGGGCAGTGAGCACTGCCTGTCATATCTTAAGTATTCAATCCGCCTTCTGATGGGAAAAGGTACATGGTACATTCGGGTCTTGAATGATTAAGAAAAAGACGGTGAACCCCCACGCCCATCTCCCGAGACTCCAGTTACACAGGACGCTGACGAGGAAGGTGGCAAACAGAGAAGCCCCACCCCTAGGGCGGAGCCTGCGCCAGGCCCGCCCCCACGCCGAGAGGGGTCCGACGAGCGTGCGCCCAGGAGCCTCGAGCCGAGAGTGAGGAAGGAAGCTTGGCGGGGCAGTTGCAAATGGACAAGGCCAGGGGGCGCACCTACTGCGTTTGCGCAAGCAGCGAAACACCCCGGAACAGCCTCGACGAGATTTGCGCTACCTGCCGGAAGGCGCCTGCGCGCTGAGAACCGCACCCTTGGAGTCAACTGTTGGAGGGCCACGCCCTCTTCGCCCTGCGCATGCGTGTGCCGCGCCGCACAGGCCATGTAGTCACGTGTTAGGGCGCGAGCTCTCCCCCGCGGGGGCGCTTCCTGCCACGCCCGCTGCCGCGGCCCGGGGGTGCCGGAGTCTTGGGCGGTCCCGGGCGGGAGAAGGCCAGGGCTGGTTTCGGATCCGCCGCGAGGTATGCCGCGTACCCGCCCCCCGGCGTGGGGAGATCTGGGAACGGCGGGGGAGATGGAGGCGGCTGGGGCAGGGCAGGGCAGCGCGTCCTGCCGCGGTGGAGTGGGGTTCCCCGGCTTCGCCTCCTGCGCGCTCCGCCACCCGCCTCTCCTGAGACTGGGCCCGGGTCTGGCACGATGCCCCCAGCCCGGTGTCTCCGGACCCGCAGACGTGGCGTGTCTGACCTCGTCTTTTCCCAGAGCCCGCTCACGCCGTGCCTCCGGCTCAGTGGACGGCCTGCCATTCACCCAAGTCTCTGAAATCTGACGCCTGGAGTCACCCTGAGCGCCCCCTCCCGTGCGCCCACATGCAGTAACCTTGGAGCCCCGTTGGTTTTACCCCGTAACCCTGGAATCCATCCGCCTTTCCACCCCCGGAGCCGCCCCCGCGCTCCCTCACCTGCCGCTTTCGCCCTGATCGTTGCAAATGCTCAATCCTGAGAGGGCTTCCAGCCTCTCTTCTCTAGAGCGACGTTTCTGAGTCGCCGACCCGATCCCGTCACGTCCGTTGCCCAAACTTCTTGAGGCTTAAAGGTTTTTCTCTTTTGCCCCCTGCTGACAATTTCAGCTTCGCTTGTACCATTCAATTTCGTGTCTCGCCACTTTCTGCCCCAGTAATCCCAGGTCTTCAGTTTCCTTGTGCGGAAACTTTCTCACCTCAGAACCATTACAAGGTTGTTCCCTGTTTGAAATCCTATTCCCCTTCCTTCCCCAACTTCTTCATGACTCAGCACAGGCATCGCTTTCTCCAGGAAGCTTTTTTTCTCAGTACTGGGTAAGGGGCCGCCCCGGGGCACCCGTGGGCCCTGGAGCAGCCCTTTCTGGTTTCTGTGCATTGATGAGGCGACCTCCACCGTGAAAATGTTCTTTGAGGGCTGAGACCGTGTCAGATTCATTCCTGCCCCCCAGTGCCCAGCACAGGGTCCGACACATAGTAGGTCCTATGCGTGGTTGTGAGATCTCTGAGAGAATCAGAATGCTGAGTCAGGTTTCTCTAGAGTGGAACTGTCCGATAGAACTTTGTTGGTGATGAAAATGTCCAGTATTTGTGCTGGCCGGTGGTAGCCACTAGTTGAGGAACTGGATTTTTAATTCTATTTAATTTTAATATAAATGTAAATAGCCACATATGGGTATCGTATTTGGCAGCACAGCTTTAGATTCTTTCTGAATCCTACCCAGCTTTGTACTCACCCGAGTCTGCCTTCCTAGGCCCCTCCCCACGCAGCCTCTTGGGTTTAATCCAAATTTGTCAATCAGTTCAGTGAGTTTTTATTGTGTGTCCAAACTCCCCACTTAAACCCATTAACAGGTGGTCCCCATCCCTTCCATCTCCCGTTTTGCTTGCTTCAGTGCTATAATTCCAGCCTTAGCATTTCATCCTTTGGTGTTAAGCATTTCCTTCTTTCTGTGAGTTGGGAGTTGACTAACCATGCCTTACCACAGCTAGCACTGTTAGGGATGGGGCTTGTAGGCTGCTCCGGTCTGAATCTCTTCTGCTTCCCACCAAACAGGTACCTAGGCTGCCAAGATGCCAGGGCCAAGACCTCGGAAGGGCCCTCAGGCCAGTGGCCAGGGTGTGGCAGCTGCCAAGCAGGTATGGCTATAGCCTGCTTCCCCTCTGGGCCAATCTGAGGGGGGGGGGGGTCCCTAGACAGCTTGCGGAAGCTGGGTCTCCTGTGTGGTTTCCCCATTAGTCCAGAGACTTTGAGCAGTGCCTCCTGGAGTCGCCAGAGCCCTTAGAGACCCTCTGACTAGCTCTTGCCACACACACATGGAAAATGAGGCCTGAACCCTCCTGTGTTTCAAGCCAGGCATCTTTCTGTCATGGCCACCATGATATAAGTGATATGGAGGGTGTTCTGATGAGGCCTTAGCGCTCTCATGGGTTCCTCATTTAGGGCCACGACTTTGCTTGCCAGCCCAGGATGCCAGGGCTTGAGGGCTGTGGCCTCTGGGAGAGCTTTGCTGCCTAGGGACAGAGGGCTGTGGCCCAAGTGGGAGACTGAGGGCTCTATCCTCTAATCTTCTCCCTTTATTTCTTCTGGGCCCAAGTCCTGAGACTTCTTAGTCCATTTTTATTGTCTTAAAAGAGGCAGGTAAGGGAGGTGATAGGATAAAGGGCAGAGACTCAAGTCATAAGACCTTATTTTACATTCTAGCTTTGCTGCTCACAAGGCTGTCTCAGTTTCATCTGAACATGGAGTTAAAAATAGGACCTAACTTAGCTTAAGAGTAGTCAAATTCATAGGGACAGAAAGTAGAATGGTGGTGACCATGTGCTAGGGATAGGGGAGAATGGAGAGTTGTTTAATGGGTACCAAGTTTCGATTTTGCAAGATGAAGAGTTCTGTGGATGGATGGTGGTGATGGTTGCACAATGGTGTGAATGTACTTGGTGCCATTGAACTCTACACTTAAAAACGGTTAAGATAATTTTCATGTTATATGTGGTTTACCACAATTAAAAAAAAATAGCACCTACTCTCAGGATTGTGAGAATTAACTAAGATTATCATGCAGAGTGCTAAGTAGAGTGCCTGGCAGCTAGTGCTGTTATTGTTGTGAGTAATAATAATGGCAGTGTAGTCTTACTGGGTTCTTTGTAGAGTCACCAGGGAGATAAGTGTCCCAAGGGGCAATGTTGCAGGACTCAGTTTCCCTTTCCACACGTTGGGCCTCACAGACAGTGAAGGAGCCACTGACCGCAGGAGACTGGCTCTGGGGCTGGCCTCCACCCTCTGCCTCATTGTGTGGGGCCTAAGAAACCTTCTCTGCTCTCAGCTGGGGCTCTTTGTGGACTTCAGCCCTGAGGACATGCTGCTGGGGATGGAGGAGACTGAAGATGATGGGGACCTGGAGGCTGAGCTGCTGGCCCTCACTGGGGAAGCAGAGACCACAGGCAGGAAGCCAGCACCCAAGGGGCAGGGTGAGTTTGTGGCACTGGGCTGGGCTTGGTGCTGGGACCAGATGGGCTCAGGCAGGCGCTGGAGAGGGTCCTCTGCTTACAGCTGGGAGGAGCCAGGCAGACCACCTGGTCCTTCTGATATCCATATGTCTTCTGCAGCACTCCCACCAAGAGGCCGTCTGGCCCTGCTCACACACCTGTGTGATGGGGAGCTCACTCCTTCCCTGGCCTACCCTTTCCCTGTTGTGGACAGTTAGCAGTCTGATTCCAGACTGACTCAGCTCCCTATGCTTCGCCCTAGCCAGGGCCTGCTGTAGACTAGGGGCTCAGCACAAGCTGAAATGGACACATAAAAAGTACACAGAAACTGTGTCGAATGAATAAATAAGTGGAATCTCCCTCCACAGCCTGGAAGGGTCAGAGGGTCTAAATCTTCCTTTCTTCTCACCAGGAACCCTTGGAGAGAACCACCCCTCATCCCTTGTGCCCCTGAGCTGAGGACAATGAGAGGATCCTGGAAGGGGCTCATTGTCCTGGGAGAACCATGGCCCTCCCTTCTCTCTCAGTCCAAACCTGCTTTGGGGTTAGACAAGTGTGGGTTTGAATCTTGGCTCTGTCACTTACTAGGATTGCAGTGTTAGGAAAATTAATATTGGTAGTTCTCAGTTTACTCGTATATAAAATGGAAATAATATTACCTATCCTGCAGAATTATTATGAAGCTGAAATGAATATTAAAAATCGTACGGGGCCGGCTCCATGGCTTAGCGGTTAAGTGCGCGCGCTCTGATGCTGGCGGCCTGGGTTCGGATCCCGGGAGCGCCCCGAGGCACCACTTCTCCGTCCAACGTGAGGCCGAGTCCCACGTACAGCAACTAAAAGGATGTGAACCTATGACATACAACTGTCTGCTGGGGCTTTGGGGGGAAAAAAACTGAATAAATAAAATCTTTAAAAATCGTACGTATGTGAAAGGTGTGGTTAGGGGGAATGGATGAATATGTCTCTGAATAACTACTACAGCAAAAATGCCGAGAAGGGAGTAGCTTGCTGCCTGTTGGAGGGCCAGGAAGGTTTCCCTGCTGAGGGTCTTTTGAGCTGGGTCATAAAGGAAGAGCAGGAGTTTTCCAGGTGTGGCTTTGGCTGTGGAAGGGAAGGATTTCTACCTGGGTGGAGAAGTGTACGGGCACAGTGGACTGAAGACCCTCCTTGACACCTTGTGGACCTTTTCTGCGTTGCCCTAATCCTCTGTGACTCTCTTCCCCCAGCCCCCCTGCCTATGGCCCACATCGAGAAGTTGGCAGCGGACTGTATGCGGGATGTGGAGGAGGAACAGGAGGAGGAAGGGCTGGAGGAGGATGCAGACTTGCTGGTGCGTCTGGCAGGCTGGTGTCCGAGGGCTCTGTGGTCAAGCCTGTGGAGGAGGCCTGGGGTTTGTCCTTCTTTGCTCTGGTGTGGAGTGAGTGCCTTGCCCTTCCTGGACCCGTTTTCCTGACTGTACAGTGTGAGACTGGTTTCCTTTGATGTCTGGTCTGAGCTCTGTACTTGGGGGTTCTCAGATTTGGAGTCTTCGCTGTTTTCAAGGCCATCCTTGATCAGATTAAAGAAGTGTTTTGGTAAAGGGGATTTTCAGGCACAGTGACTGATGTTGGGAAATACTGCTGGGGGCGAGGGTGCTTTATTCTCAGATCCTACCATAGATATGGCCATGAGGCTCCCAACCTTCTGGGACTTGTGTCTCTCCAGACTGAGCTGCAGGAGGTCCTGGGTGCAGATGAGGAGGCTGGGCCCCTGAATGGCGATGAGACAGCCAGCCCAGGTGGCTCTGAGGAGGAGAAGGGACAGGAAAACATTGAACCCCCAGTGCAGACAGCTCTCCTAACAGCTTCTGTCCCAGCGGCTCAGGTAGGTTCTGGAGGGGT